TTCTAAATTTTGATGTGTATTAGTTCAGAAGATTATAAAGGGATTCCAAAGAGGAATGGAATGGCGCCAATAGATGCCCTCGGTGTCCCGATAACACGCAAAAATGCTCAAAGACTCTTTACAATCCCTTTGAAATACAGGAGCACGTCCCATACAACCTTTTTGGTAATTTGGGGTAAGCTTTCATCATTTTTACTCACATTGGCTCCCAAGAAATTTGGTACATTCAAAATTTTGGGGCATAACTAACAATTATTGTTACATTTTGTAACATTCATTGACCATGTGAGAAGCTACAACATTTACTTTGCAGTCACAGATTTGAGAAATGACCATGAAGATTGGAATCCTTTATAGGCCTTATCATGGCCATGAAATTTGGCAGACAAAGTTGGATTACCACCAATGATGTGACATACTATAAATGTCTAGTCTAATGATAAGAGACATTGTTAAGACAAGTCAATGACAGTTTTACATGTCTCTAGATCATTACTTTAATCTTTATACTAATATGACATTGATATAGTGTTATTGTCTAAAACCTAGAAACAGGGGACAGATTAACAGGTGCTTGACTGAAATTAACTTCCTTCTTTCATACCAATCAAATGAATTATAATGGAGTTATATGTCCTACTTTTCTGCAGCCAATAGGACAAATGAAGACTAGCATCATGTCATGGTGCAACGCAAGAAATTTTTTCACAACGGATCAGGGTAGATATATGAAATGAAATTAAATGAATGGAGTTCTACGTCCTACTTTTCTGCACCATGTGGGCTAACGAGGACAGTGGGTGAAAAAATAACATCAATGTCAAGTACATGGTACATTACGAATCAATTTCTCTTCAAGACATATCTTAAAAACCTCAAGCTTTACAACCAGTGTAAGAAAGGTCGAACTGACCTACTGTGATTTACAAGAGTATTGAACCAACAACATATCAACATCTTCAAGTCAAACATGATAGTGGCCATCACTACCAACTTAACATACTTTTGTGAAAAAAAACAAGTGCATTTCACAGTAAATAGATAGACTTTAAGTAAGTTTCAAGGTGTGATATCATGTTTATCAAATTTTGACCCCTTGGCCTTGTATCAATCATCTTAAATCAACTTTTATCAGCTACTGGTATATAAATGCTGCAAATTTCAGCCATGCCCAATTATGGTTCAAATTTCAAAATAATAAACTGTTATTTGCCTTTGATCTTGTACGACATTAAAATATTAATTTCAAAATGAAAGCTTTATTCCAAGCACAGTGCATGATGATTCCAATTCTGAACTGTGTGGCAAACAGAGACTCTTATTTGACAAGTGTTCATCTCATGTTACAAACATGTGTTTCAGATACACAATCTTCATCAGGACAGCTACTTTCGCAAGTGGTAGTAAGTTTCCAAGTTACATATGACTTGAGATGTAATCTTTCGAGCAAAATACCATAAGATTTACCATATCTGACACTGAGCAGGCCAAAAAAAACCTGGGTCTATAGTTAGCAAACCCATTTACAAAGATGTGATTACCATTATAAGAGGGTACTTGATACAATTACTATAATCCCATTGACAAATAAACCCAATCTTGTGACCCTTGACCTCAATATATAAACATCAATCAGAGGTTAATCTATATGTAAATAGAAGATATAATTTCAACTTTGACCTTATGTCTTAATTGTTTACTGAAAAGTAATGTTTGATTTGATGAATATCTGTATAACTTTATTTTATCTAGAACAGTTTTCTATTAAGTTCTAGTTTAGTTCTAGTTTAGTTCAAAATGTAAGTAAATTACTAATTAGCAGTACACTGTCAACATCTACATTTCAAATCACAAAGACAAAATCATTTCATTTTTGAGCCATTCGGGGCTTAGTTAAAGTTATAAGGCATTTTGACTTGGTAAAAAAGACAACAGGACTTCTACTGCAGTTAGTTCAAGCATGCTTTTACCCTTTCCCAACTTCAAAGCCATGCCATGCCATTGCCATGAAAATTAAATGAATGCAGTATCGCATCCTACTTTTCTTCATGGCATGACATTGTCAATTGCATTGATTTTGTCCCAAGCTGAATAAAGCAATCAATCAATAAGTTTATTCCACATCCTTTGTTCGATGTCGTCCAAAATTATTGCGTTGAAAAAGCTTGTCGTCTGTCACACAGCATTCATCAACAAGAAATACGATTTTCTGCAAATGCCGTGAAATGGAAAGCTGCGAAAATGAAATGTGAAAAATTGATAAATTATGAGTTTAGCGGTTGAATTCGAATAAAATTTCAAACTTACCAAATAAAATGCACACTTCGGCTTCGCAGCGAAATGCAGAAAGCAGTAAAATCACAAAATATTCGCAGAAATGGGATTTTCTTCTCGAAGATTTTTAGTTCTGATGTCTGCAAACAACGAAATGCGCCAGACTCGGTGTACACAGAATTTGATGACATCATCAGTTGTTGCTGGTTCAGCTTTTTGTAGTTTCTAAAGATGAAGAGTCACTGAAGAGATCACGAGTTGTCTCCCATTTAAAATTTCATTTTTTTTGTGACATTACATATCAAGAGTTCCTACCGAAATATTTTCACTGGGAACACCGTGAAAATTTGACAAGAATTGCATGACAGAAATGAACTGAGAATTGACAAATATGGGTTTTGTGTCATCATAGCTATGATTTTCCTAGTCTGTTCCAGGAGAAGCCTAAAGGCAGCTCCAAGGATAGAATCTTGAAGATCACTCTGGCATACTAAAAGCAACTGTGAGCGCCTTCAGGAACACCTTTGCAATGGAATTAGTTGAAATCCACAGGGTTATGTCTATAGGTTTAAGCACAATAATAATTGAGGCTCAGCAAAAAATCTGCTTTGACAATGGGAGTAGGCCTTCAGCGCTAGCAGACGACAATCCGAATCCCTTTTGATTCAGTGAACTCTAATTTAATGCAACTGAGAACTTTTTTGAACTGGAACTTTTCTTCCCTAATTGCATGATCAAAACCAAAAGAGACACTTTTTAAATTTAATTTATTAATATCAAAAATTATTCAAATATCATTTATATTACACAAAATATTGCAGATAACATCGTAAAATTAATACTCCATTTTTAGGCTACCTGATTTCATAGAGTGACTATGGACCTCAATATTTGATAGAAAATAAAATAAAATTAAATGTCCTGATTGGGCTATAAAGACAGGCAATGCCATGCAGTGTGCAATGAGGGAATTTGCCAAGACAGCGACATTAGCCTACTGTCTTTTGATTTCCAACTGTTGAGGGATCTGTAACATGCATAGCCTGTAGTAGACATGGCCTATGTTTAATGCCCCATCTGAAAGACTAGACACTTCTCAATATCTGCCCATCTGACCTGCATCACTATTTTAAATCAATATTGAAATCCAAGTCACTAATACACACTTTTATAATACTTTCCAAAATATTTGAAAATCTTTTTAAAAAAAATAATTAAATATTCAAATGATTAATTTATATATTTTTGAAGATGAAAATATTTTGAAATGAAACATCGAATGAGCGCCTTTATAACATAATTTGAAATCTGAAAGTTATTCAGGAGTGGGTAAAGTCATGCATATAAATTTTTGAAAATGCAGAGAAGATTCAAAACATAAACCCAAGCAGTTCACTTTAAACAAAATAAATGTGGAGCATTTTTCACAAAAACTTTCATTAGTTTTAAAATTGATTTTAAATCTTGTTTGATTATTCAATCAGGTCCTTATTCTTCAAAAATTATTAATAAGTAAGATAAAGTCCAGATTTTAAGAAATACAGTAATCTGATTGGATAATAAAACTACATTCAGAATCAATTTTAGTGATTGACCAATCAGATGACTGGAACACTAAAATCATCTCTAAGTTTTTGAGAAAAAGGCTCGTACTATTCATTCTCTTTCTAAAAACTGCTAAGATTTCATTTTTTTGAATTGACCAGGCTATGTAAAAATATCTATACATAACTATACACTGTTGCTTTGAACTATTTACAACTTCTAATACCATACATATTAAAATAATTGAGTTAATAGATGACATAATTCTTGTCGCTGCCGTTTGAAAAAGTTATGAAATGTAGAAAATGACGTAAAAATTTCAGATGATAGTAAAAAGATAAAAACACACTTATAAAATCAATATATTTTACAGATACGTATACCAAACTTTTTCACACAAATTTAAATCTTGATATCATGAAATAGTCCTACACTTTCATAGGCACCAAATTTCTTCAATCTTTCTGCTTCTTTTATTCGTGGGACATGATTACTGATGTATTGGTTAATATTTTCATTTCAAGAATTATTTTGGGACTAATCTGATACTGGCTACGAAAGAACAAGCCCTGAATTTTATTGAGACATACGTCTTTACATTTCTTTAACACGTCCAAAACTATTACATATTTCCTATCTATTTATTGAAAAGTGGTGTAAAATCGCGACCATATAAAAATGGAATCATAGGTAAGAATAGGCATAATATTTGTTCACAAGGTCAAAAATCTATCCCATAATAAGACCAAAGCCTTGTTCACCGCGTCATTGGACATGCAAACCATCATCCAATTTTTAATATTCGTGTCCGCGTCATTGGACATGCAAACCAACATCAAATTTTTAATATTCGTGTCCGCGTCATTGGACATGCAAACCAACATCCAATTTTTAATATTCGTGTCAAAAACTAATATATCTAACTATTGACGAAAATTAACAAAAGTTTGAAACCAAAATGAATGGCACATAATATGCAAATTAGGTTCTAAAGTTGATTGGATGATAGTTCTTAAACACACTCATGAATATTCATAAAGACATTTGATTTGATGATAGGCCTCAAAACACTCTTAATATTCATAATGTCATTTTGTTCCTTCTGGTTGGATGATAGTTCTTAAAACACTTATGAATATTCATATTAACGTTCGTGAGCAGTTGAGATCCACGAATATAAATTAACTCCAATCTGTCGCTGGATAGCCGTCATAGAAACCATTAAATAAAACTGCTATAGCTACAAAGGCTAGATATATAGCTAAGGTCACCCATCCTAGAGTTCGTTCCCATGGTAACATTTTTATATTTTTTAATACAGGTACTCCTAGCAACAAGCCTGAAATTAAATTAAACCACAATTTACAATCAAAATTTTTAAAATCTTTGGGCTGCAAAGCTATCATTGGGTTGACATAGCTCTTTTACATACTTCTACTGCGTTTCTCTTTAGTAGTTGCGATAACGAAAATTTATATCACATGATTTTAAACTGGCCAATCAACAAACTTCTACATTAATCAAATTTTGAGTTTGTTTTGTAAAATATGTTACACACAAAACTCTTAAATATTATATGAATACAGACAACTCCACTTGTATGATCAAGTTTGTTTTGATTGTTTAAAATAACTGCCTTATACGAAGTGATTTGGATAAAGTGACCCACAGTTCCATCTATTTATATATTGATAATGGGGCCTGTTGTAAATGCGGATGAAACAGCAGTCGGCAAGAAATTTCAGTGAAGATACTGACATTATCGAAACAAAACAAAACCAAAAAGTTAATTCAGTTTTTGAAGATGGACTAGCAATGAAAAAAAGAAAAATTACCACATAAAAATCCTCCAATATGAGCAGTGACTCCTACTTTAAATTCATCAGGGGCAGTAATTCTTCTGTAAATAGCTATACTCGTATCTGGTACCACTGGAAACATTAGAATTATAAAATTAAGGGCTCAATGATCCTTTATTGGAACACGAATAAATACACATACAAGAAGCTTGTCTGATTCATAAAACAACGCCAGATATAACTAATATTTTGACAACAAATGAAAACCTTTAAAGGGATTGTAAAGCCTGAAGCCAAGAGTACTTACATTCTGTAAGACTATTTATGAAAAGAGTTCTATAGTATTATTTAATAAGCCTTTAACGAGGTGAAATCAACTTACCTAACATAAGAATAACCATGAGTCTGACTGGAGCACTTAATAAAATACGTTTTATACTTCCACCACAACATTGATAGTTCATTTCCTTCCAATTCTAGAGAAAAAAAAGATTATCAGCATTTTTATTACCTTTCAATCTCTAGCTCCCCTTACAAAACACTATCATGTGTCATGTGACCTGCTCATTCTTACAAAACACCCGATGCCACTTTCTGTCTCTAAACATATAATCAGGTGGTTTCCCCACTACCAACAAAAAGCATATTTAGTACTGTGAAAGAAAACTTACTGTAATGATGGCAGCTACGTGAGCCCCTAATAGAGCATAGACTCCTCCACTGGCTCCTACTAATGATACAGCATGATCTGTCATAGAGTGGGCAAGAGATCCTAGAAAAATACATATATATATATCAGCTTCTAATACAATTAACAAAGCAAGAGTGAAAACTATAGTTGCCCCAGCTGTAAATGGATACAGATAATCCAGGAAAGATCAATGCCAAGAGATTCTGTTAAAGACAACATGGTAAACCGGATCCTCGTAACCCATGATGGATGGATGTTTATTTCCTTCTGTCCACTGTTCTGATACACTGAACATAATGTAAACCTGTTTTAACGAGGCTAGTAACTGAATGCACAGACAATACAGGGTTCCTCCGCTTAAATCATAAAAAATTTCAAAACAAAAGCTAAAAAAAACAACCTGCGATAACACCGAGTAAATATACAGTCATGACTCTCCAGAATTTATGAACAAACTCTAATGGAATACCAAATACCAGTTGAAATAACATGTTCGATACTATATGTAGATATCTGAAATAATAATAGAACACAATTTATAATACTAATAGTGTGCACATTAAAAGTTCCTTGATAGTTGAAAATAAAAGAGTTGACTAATGTCACTGTTCCTCATTGCACACTGCATGGTGTTGCCCCATCTTTAGATTTATCATGAGGAGATAAGTAAATAAATAAATAGGAAATGACAAAGGCTATGAGAGGCCTGTTTCTCAATTCCTTTGAGTTACTGAATAAAAATATTTGTTATACAAAAAAAATTCAAATTCCTACACGTACCCCTGATGCATAAACATATAGGTTAAGAATCTCCAAGCTTCATAACGTCTTGTTGGTCGGTAAACTAAAGGACTGTACATGGCTACACCAGATGTAGCAGTTGTTTCTATACCTTTTTCTTGTAGTTCTACAGCATATACTATAAATATTATCACCTGTAATAAAAATATTAGACATTATATTTTGAAGGGGTTTTTTTTGGTGGGGGGGGGGGGGGGTCAAGTAATGGTAATAACAGCCTTTTTACTATCTGCCTAATTTCACCTCCAAGGTGTAACCATTGTAAGATTATGTATTTGACTACAGCTCATCTCATACTGCCAATATATGGTTTGGATACACTATCCTCATCTGGACAGCTTTCGCAGTTGGTGGAAATGGTGTCAAACATTCCAATACAGGACTTTAAGTGCTGACAATTGTAATTTGCTTTAAAATCTTGTTTTACCCCTTCCTACCGCAGGAGCCACCCCTTCCCTACCACAGGGGCTTTCCCTCCCCTACCCTACTCTAGTGTTTCTTACCTCAGTAATACTAATAATAGGTATAAACAATGGTGGAGGTCTACAGTTGTAGTTAGCTATAAAATCTTGTTTCATTGATTTAGGAACAATATTATCAATGGCAGCACTCATCACTTTCTGGAATTTAGATCGTTCTGACTTCGACACCCCGCTCTCATCACTGGTCATCTAAAATACACACAAAATATTTATTATTATCTCGTAAAACAATGTTATACTTCTGAATTAAAATTTTGTTGTAACCATAAGTGTATAAGCTTTTAGTATTTAGATACAGATCCAGAAATAAATATCATTTTCAAAGGGATCTAAAAAAGGTTTCCTACACATTTTCATCAAAAATTAACTTTTTCATCAAACACTTGACCATTTTTAATCAAGCTTTATCATCTGGTAAAGCAAATATCTACACTGTTCTTGGAGTACTTAATGTCACAATGCCTCAAATCGAAAAGCAATTAATCCATTCATCCAAAACATATATTTCATTGATCAGGAGTGATGAATCGACTCACCAATCTAACGAATTCTGGATAAGTAATATGAGCATCTCTGTTTTTATCAGCTTGTTTCAGGATGTATTGAAGACGCTGTTCTGAAATATGGTCAGCAATTCCTTCCTCTTCCAGTTCTGTTCGTAAATCTCGTAGTGGAACTCCTTCAGGGCCATGCTAAAAATAGAATCATAACATTTCAATACAGAAAGGAGATAAGGTTTCCAGGTAAAGGTGGTAGTAACCGCCGATTTATATTATAAAGGTGGAAATTAATGCGGACAAAAGTGGAATATTAATCTCTATTTTAAGAAAAAATCAAAATAATACTCACTCTGTCAAAGATCTTTTTGAAATTCTGAAAAAAAAAAAAAGAAAGTTATAGTTAAAGTGAATAAACACACAGATGGTTTCAGGTTAAAGATTTGTAAGAGAAATTCTATATAAGATGACTTGCTAAGCTGTACAGTAAAAAAAACTGATCCTTGCATTAATTCATTCCAACACAAAGTGCAAGTGTATAGAAAATATTTCTGCATCTGCATTATTTAATTTGCGCTTAAAATGAAAGTGAATAAGTGCACGAATTTTGCATTCAACAAAAAAGATATTGCAACAAAAAAAGTCAAAGAAAAGCAAAGTTATGGACTTTAATATTCAAGTACTTTAATGAACTTTCAAATTGTAAGAAAGAAAAATTGTAGCTTATTGAGTGTAAATGAATAACGTGTTTCTTGAAGCATGACATAGTATGTTGTCTGAATAGTAAGATATTTTATTAGTCAAGTTATTATTTTTATTCGCGTTATGGTTGACTTGAGCTAATTAAGGTGTTTACTCATTCAAAAATTCAAACTTGTTTATTAATTTCACCTTGGGCTATGATCGGGCGATGATTTTTCTAGGAGAGTCAAAATTTTGGATTTTTTCAGTGCACGGTTACACTAAGCTAATTAAGCTCAAAAATTCAAAGGATAATGGGTTCCTTGTTCTTGTTAATCAAATAGACGTGGCGAGGGGGAGATATCCTTAGGGGGGAGGGGGAGATATCCTTAGGGGGGAGGGTTGATTCTGAATGTAGGGTCACTAAGCAAATATTCTCAAGATTGGATTAATCGAAAGGCAATGGGTTCTTTAGTAACAGATTAAAGCCAAATTGGATCTTGTTAATCAAATTCCTAATTACATTAAGGGGAAATCAAGTCTTGATTTTTTAATGTTAGGGCCACTAAGTCAAATTAATGTAAAATCTATGTCCTCCCCTTAGTTTTTGATGCTCCTGTCTTACAAGTTTTTCAGGGCTAATCTCATTAAAGTCAACCTATTGCTACAAGTTACTCTACACGCTTCGTTTTATGCCCAAGCTATATTCTTGCTAGCCCCCATAAAATTTTAATTACCTCACACAAATACCTGATCCTAACTCCCACATAATTTATTGCCCAATCCTTGTAAGATAAGCTTACATATACGTATTCTCACTACCTCCATTTAACTGTTTAAAACCCTGATAATATCATCTTGATCTGAATAACAAATGGATTTTATGTCTGACCCTATTATTCTCTCTAGCCCCCATTCAATTTTTCTCTACCCACAAAAAAAATCTTATCACTACTTTTTCCCCCCACATCTACAGTTTGTATTGCCTCATCATCCTTATATCCTTTATTCTTTCTAGCAACCGACTAAAATTTCACAACTCATACAAAAATGGCCTATCTGATTGTTTCTTCTCCATGCAAACTGTCGTTGCAAATGTGCAATTTTTACCTATCAATTCAATGTCTCTAAGGACTTAAGGACCCTACTAGGGTAGATCAAAATGTGACCAAATGTCCTTGATTGAATTTTTGATCTATCTTCTAGGTCTAGATGTATAATAGACTTAGTGTATTAATGTGCCACACCCACATTCCATTCCACTGACACACAGATTTTGAGCCCCTTGTCCATGCCCAGGGACAACCCTACCCTACCCTACCCTAGTAAAATTACATGGGAAATTTGGATGACATCCATAAAATGGCAATGGATTTAAATTCAAAACCTTGTGCATTAATTATGCACCGAACGTTTTCGAAATCAAGCACCTGCGGTTGTTTGCCATGCTGACTAAGCCAGTGCAATAACTCTGCGACACATGTTTTTACTCACTGAACCAACTGGGCCTGTTGTTTCCAAAAGATCGACTTCTTCCATACTCGATCGTGACTGCATTTTGATGATTTCTCCTTATTTCCTACTTTCGCTTTTCTTATTTCACAAATTACAAATCGATCAAACTCGCAAAATTTACAGAAATCCGAAGCTAATTCCACATTAATGGCACTTTCTGTTTCAAGCCGTTGCCACCTGAACTCATAATGATTAAATAAATAAGCAGGTCATAGGAAATCAATAAAATAAATTGTTGTTGTTGTTGTGAGGAAGCCCGTCTGCCTTTCCTTCAGGTAATAACATTCTATACCTGTCAATCAATTATGTAAATTAGCCGGCTTAAGTAAACCAATCAGATGACGTTAAATATTTAATTTATATTTTGATTGGTTACTTTATGTCGCTTATGGCCATAGCAAAAACGTAGATTTCTTTTCCAGACGCAAATTTCCATTGTAAAATTTGGAAATTTGTAGTATAGTTGAAATATTAAAATTTGATCTGTCGATCAATTTGTGCCACTTTCTTGACAAAACTTTCCGAAAAGCTCAGGAAAATGAAAATCAAAACATTTGTTGGCAGATTATGTTACCAACGCAACAAAAATTAACAAGAAAAGCTCAAGTTAGATCAAAATGTTTTAAGCCCGGATAATCTAAAAACAGTTTTAGAATCGTGCGCACAACCGGAAATAATTAAGAAGCCATTTTCATTTCGATCAGTTTGGACAAAATTTTATTTATAGTGAACAGTTTCAGTATTATTGTCCAAAATGTCACGTCATAGAGATGTCGAAAACAAAATCTACGTCGGCGATCTGCCGAGTGATGCTTCAGAGAAAGAATTAGAAAGCCATTTTAGCTCGTATGGCCGTTTGAGGAATGTTTGGGTGGCGAGAAATCCTGCCGGTTTCGCTTTTGTTGAATATGAAGATCACAGGGACGCCGAGGACGCAGTGCGTGGGTTGGACGGAACAACAATGTGCGGTGTTCGAGTACGTGTTGAACATTCTAGCGGTAAAGTCAGACCTAAACCTTGGTTGAGAGGTGGTTACAGTCGTGGTCGTGGCGGACCCAGAGGCGGCAGTCGAGGTGGAGGTGGGGGAGGAAAAGGCTTCAATCCAGAAGATAGATGCTATGAATGTAATGAACGAGGGCATTATGCTTATGATTGTCGAAAACGCAGTGGCAGAAGTTACAGGTCACGAAGCAGATCTAGGAGTCGGGGCCGAGAACGAAGCAGAAGTTACGAGAGACGTAGATCATCCAGACGGTCACCAACTTACAGCAGAAGTAGATCCCGATCACCATCGAAACATTGAATTCTGAAGAAATGTGCAGCTAAATATAGATCCAGAAAATGTTGCCAACATAGAGAATTAACTCCAAATGAGATTTGACATCAAAAGACAATCGCCATTTTGATCCAACATGTGCTAAAAATCTCGTTTGAATTCGTCGCAACTTACTTAGTAATGTAAATACATTATATTGCCACTTTTGTTTTTATGTATTCATTTGTGTTCTCATCTGTGATCATTTCTGTACATAGTCCAAAACTATTTCAAAATTTCCATTCAAATTTATAACCAAATCTAAAACTTATTATTCATAATGAAAATGGCAAAAGCTTAGAATATATTTTTGGATACAGCAATCATTACTGTTCAAGTTTGTTATTAGTTTGGTGTCTCAAATCTGACTATAGTGCTCACTTTGAGAAAGATTTTAATATTTTCATGACATTCTGAGTTTTTAATGTTTTTTTCGCTGTATTTTGCCCTGGTAAAATAAATTTTATGTAAATAATGTAGCTGAATATTTATGATAATTTTTAACGTATTTTTTCTTTCTACTTTACAGTGTAAATGTGCGATGTTCGTCACAACATTGACTGCAACGCCACATCAAAATATTCCACCGATTATTCGTCGTTAGATCTACACTGTCCGCCATCTTGATCGTCACTGCCACTAAATTGAGATTGTCAGCCATCTTGAGATATCTGTCTGCAAAATTAATATCGTCACACGAAGATTGTCACTGTCAGCCATCTTAAGATTCTCACCTAGTCAGCCATCTTGAGATCGCCACACTTGTCAGCAAAACTAAGACCTTCCGTCATCTTTGAGATCACTGTCAGCAAATTTAAGATTGTCACTGTCAGCAATCTTACGATCCTCACCTAGTCAGCCATCTTGAGATCGCCACACTTGTCAGCAAAACTAAGACCTTCCGCCATCTTTGAGATCACTGTCAGCAAATTTAAGATTGTCACTGTCAGCCATCTTAAGATCCTCACCTAGTCGGCCATCTTGAGATCGGCACACTTGTCAGCAAAACTAAGACCTTTGAGATCACTGTCAGCAAATTTAAGATCGTCACTTTGTCAGCCATCTTGAGATCTCCACCTAGTCGGCCCTTTTGATATCGCCACACGTAGCTTGAATTCATCACAGTCAGCCATCTTGATATCTTAAAACCAATTTGTTACTGTCAACCACCTTGATCACTACACTGGCAACCACCTTGAGATAGTCTTACTTGCAGATTGTCACTTAGTCAGCCATTTTGAGACCACTACACTGTCAGCAGAATGAAAATCCTCATTTAGTCAGCCATCTTGAGACACTGCCAACAAAATTGAGATGGATTCACTGTCAGCAAAAATTGAGATTGTCCCACTGTCTGCCTACTTGAGATTTGTTACTTAATCAGCCATTTAGACATCATTGTCACACTGTCAGCTGTCTTGAGATCGTGACACCAAATTGTCAGCTTAATTGAGATCGCCACTGTCAGCAAATTTAAGATCGTCACTGTCGTCAAAATTGAGATCATCAAATTGTCAACTACTCCAGATTATCAGCCATAATGATTATCACTCACCAAGCTACTTTGAAATGATCACACTTTCAGCTAAATTAATAAATTGATTTGTTGGAGATCAAAATGCCAACATGACCCGCAAACAAGATTTTGCTCTCTAACTATTCACCAAAACGGCAACATGACAGGTTTCAAACAAAAGTGGAAAGCTTTAAACACTTCTTGAAAGGAAATTCACTGGTTAAAAAGCAAAAAAAAAAAAAAAAAAAGTTTCTTTAAGCTTGCCTTACCCTTCGTCCATATCGTTTTGGTTGTTTGTTCATCTTGGAAGCTGTATCCAAGAATTGAAACACTTCCTGCACACAACTATACAACCAATACTAATTTTTTACACCCTTTACTTGCTGAAAACTTTAACAACCCAAGTCTGTTGCCTGTCTCTTTTTTAAACTGATCAACTAATTTCCCTAATTATAATTTATACAGCTTTGCACTTATCTCCGTCTGTCTTCTTTTCAAATGACTAATTTTTGTGTTGCTAAAGATCCAGAGCTGTCCAGAATTAGGCTATGATCTAAGATATCTGCGCCTGTCTCCTTTCCAATTTGCTTACTTAAAAATCAGACTGAATGTCTTATCAACTCAGAACTGCCCAGTCAGTTGGTCTAAAGCTGGGCTATTATTAGGCCTATGATAAGCTAAGCCGAGGTTAAGCCTAAGATGATTATAAAATAGGCTTAACCCCGAACAAAATATGTAAAAGTTGCTTTAAAGGACTGGAGTTAAGGTTTCAAATACCATTTTGGTACTTAAGGGAAGCATACACGGTTTCTTGGCTTTGGGCGTTCAATATGCCAAGTTCCACCATTCAGATTTCCCAACCATCGTAGACTGGACCCCGCGATGACGATGTTATAATCTTTTCAAGGTAGTCTTGAACTTCAAGCTCACCACCTCCCTCTCCTTTATTTAATATCCGACATACACTAAGGGAATGGTTGGGCCAACAGCAAACCGAAGGGCATCAATTGGTTAGAAGAAAGGTGAACTCATTCCTCCAAGACTTGAGGATGACAGTTACTCTCTGACCCCCCCCCTCCCCCCCCTTTCCAATATTCTAAAACTATATATAAGAAAGTAAAAAAAAAAAGAAGATATTTTCGGTATGTGGGTGTATTATTCAGTAGCTTTAACCTAGAAAATGTCATCTAAAATACTACAGAAATATATCACTAGTTTAGGCTATATAAACTAGTATACGTTTATGTCTATTTGATTTGCTTGAATGAATAAATAAAAGAAAAATACAAAAGAGAAAGCGGCCCATCATCAATCATTTTTGGCCTTCAAGGTACGAAATTCTTGACCCACTTTCACCTTAAGTGTCAATTTTTAACTTCTGGTATAGGAAAGGTAGCCTCAATAAGACTTCACACGAAGCTGTTTGGTTAAAGAGAACCACAGTCAATTTATTTTTTGATAAGGGCGTGGGTACTGCGATCTCTAGTTAAGAGCAAGAAGCGCAGGGTAAAAAATACCCTTATAAATGTAACGCCGTCGATCAAGCTGTGAACATAATAAACAGAATGTGAAGAACATGGTTTATGATTTCAAATTTTAAAAAAATATATATATAATGGTAGTCTATTAAAATTACAAGATTTCACGCAACAGATAGAGTTTATGTAAACACATTAGTTTGAATAGAATTTTTTTAAATTGAGTATGCTTGAATAGAAAGATATATTAACAGCATGGGCTAAAAACCGCCTACCCTTCCTTGCTTCGTGGTTGAGCTGTTTTCGAGGATGTTAAATGCTTCCCTAATCATTTAAAAGTGCAGTGAAAGCCAGGCCCAGAGGGGGGCCCCTTCAAAATATCCCCCTGGGATTGCTACGGGCATGTTGAAAGCCCAAAAGCAGAGAGCCCAACGGTGAGAGGGTGGTCATGTATCGTTCTACTTGGGATACGAACAGATGGTAATCATAAATCTTATTAATAAGATTAATTTCTAGGCAATAAGTTACCAAATTATACACATATATCCTTAATACTAGAAACCATTAGCTTCCGCCCACATTTGATCCAAACAGTGGCGTTTCTATGGAAACTTTTTTTCTCCAGAAAAATGGCTGGACCGGCTTTGGCCCCCTACTTTCAGTTTTTTTTATTATTTCATATAGTAAAAAAATGTCTGTATCCCCTGTAGGAGGTTGTCTGCCCATATTAGCTCTAAGCATGTACAGAAAGATAGGGCGTAAAACTCCAATTCATTTCACCAAGTATTGTATTTGTATGGAGTATATAGGCTTACTCTGTAAATAGTTTGGTGTATATTAGAAGTCGTATGGAATGTGTTTAATTATAAACCATGTAATTAAGTTAATTAAATACTGCACTTGAAACCAGGTCATATCAATAAAGTTCATATATAATAACGGACACAATTTTAATGGTAGTCTATATTACAAATTAGAGTTTTATTAAACGCAACTTTTCAGCGATTTGATTGGATTGTTTGCCAGAAAATACAGCCAATCAAATCCCCCAAAAGAAAAGTCGCTATTGCAGATGAAGTTGGTAATTATAGCTTGACATTGTAAAGATGCAACGAGACTTGATTTATATAACATATAGTGCAATCAACACTATTATGAAGTTCATTCGTTCAAGTATTTCTTCCTTCCTTTTCTTTCATCCTCTATTCATTCATTCGTTAATTCATTCATTCTTCAATTCATTCATTCGTTAATTCATTCATTCTTCAATTCATTCATTCATTAGTTCATTTGTGCATTCTGTTAAATGCCGGTTTTATGAATAACACGCTCGCTGTATAAAACTGTATATGTAGTCATATGATTTTCGTCTATATTGTTCATTCTATTTATTTGTTGATTTATAAATACTGAATATGACTTATTGTATTATTCATATTTTCATATTTATATGTTGGATATTTATATTCATGCATTATTCATGATACTACTTCCAACTCAAAACCTGTGGTATGAGAATTTCTTCCATTAGAAGATTCGAACCTGTGAAACATTATTACCTATTCCATAACAAGCCAATTTATCTACTTACTGCAAAATATATACTTTTTATTCATTCCTCCCCTTACAATAGTATGGATGCAATTTATTCATTCATTCATTCATTCATTCATTCATTCATTCATTCATTCATTCATTCATTTCCTATTTGATTTTTAACACGAAGACAGAATAAAGACAGTATTAAACGGAAAAGTCACGAATTTGCAAACAAACTTTAACACTAAACTGTGAGTGTCAATATGTAAAGGAATTAACACACGTAACTAAACAAGTTAGGATATGAGACTTAAGTGTGTTCAATTTCGTTTGTTAACATGGAATGCAGCCATTTAAAGGGATCAGCATATCCGGATATGACCATTAACCAATACCTGTGGTCTAATTGTATAAATATTACATGCGTTATAATGCAACAATGTTTACTTTTGTTACGAACGTCAAATGAATATCGTTACAACATTGTTGCACATCCCAAAGGCATTCATCAAAAAAGAGTAGTGATTCATTGGTGTCCTTTATAGTAAACCGAAACCTTGACACTGATATTTGTCCGACCTGTAAACCAATCTCCTTATTTTGATACATTGTTACCTTCGCATTCCTCTATATCCAGGCGTTTTAGATCCCCACTATATTAGCCCCGCCTTATTTCTCAGTGATATCTCACCGCCCCACCCCCATTTCGTGATAAATAGAAGCTCAATACTTACTCTATCTAGGTCCTCGCGATAATTCTGCATCTCTACACTTTCTTCGATCCCATGTCCAACTCTACTTCGAGACATTTTACTCCCTTTCCTTGTCCGAATTCACAAATTTCTTGTAGATAGTCCAAAATCCAAAGTTTTAACCAAAATATTCACTGATTTCTTCAAAGTTTCACTCTAATATAACATACATTTGCAGGAATCGTGTCAAAGAAGAATACACTACACGAACTTTCGACACGAGATATAAACCTACTATTTTAAGCCGAGTACGAAATTTCGTGAAAATGTACCGTTATTGAGGTCCATATGACATTTGGTCAGTCACTGAGTGAAATCACTGTACATAGAAATCTGTGTCAACCAATTCAACCTTCAATGATCCGTAACGACAGTAAACATTCACTTAATACGTTACCAAGATATCATTTAATCCGTTTACCACGACGGCTAATCCAACTCGAGTTATTGCCCTTGAATTGAACGTTAGCCAAGTTTTATAAACAGCTCCTACCTAAATGAAAATGAGATAACACACTGCGTGATATGTACAAGTAATGTTCTCTATTTTATGTTTTGACTCATAAAGTCGAAGTTTATCAGCTTAGTAGCTATTAAATCATCTTTAAGATCGGATCGTTATTTATGTCTAAAATTTAAAGGGATTGTAAAAAGGTTTTCTAAACTTTATACATGTATGTGTATCAGGGACACTTATATCATCAATTTACAGTATTCAAATTTTCAGTCAGATATCTACGAGTCCGTAGCCAGACTTGATTGATCGGAAGTAGTAATACAGTATAGTCTGAGGGGCAAGTAATATATCCCGAGGGACAAGTAATATATCCGGAAGGGGCAAGTAATATATCAGGAAGGGGCAATGGTGTAAAGTGAATAGTTGCAGTAATGGAATTGGCTAGTTGTCAGATTTTTTTTCCAGGGAGGCATTGGTCCTCTGTAGCTTCGGATCTGGATATCTGTGAAGGTGTGCGTTGCGGGCTCATCAATACAGTAGAAACTAGAAAAAGCCCCTTTAGGCTGGCAAAAGAGGCCAAATAACTCTACATTTCAAACAATTTGTGTATATTTGGGTATATTTAGCGATTTGGATTGTCGTCTGCTAAGGGGGCTAGATGCCATGGGTTCAAATCCTCCTCATGATAAGAAAAATTATTATTTTTATACCACGGTCACTGCCTACGATAGTCGACCGGTTGTCAGCCCCAGCACCAGCATGGTTCTATTTAAGTTTATTAACGAACATCCACAAAGAAACTAATCTACGCCCCACCCCACCCTCCGAAATACACATGGAGTAAAAAACACAAAGACGTTATGAATAAAATCATTTGGAATATCATCAAAACTCTATATTGCACATTACATTACACACTTTCAATACAAATGTATTATAGTACAAATTAAAAAATTGCTGTTGCTCCCCTTGACAATTGTATTGTTATGCCCTCACCTAATGAGGAATACCGCTGTCCAGCGACCCATCATTTAATGACGGATTATGGTGGACGGATCGGCGATGGAACAATTTGGAATGGGGGCCGATATCTCTGAAACTATAGATGGATCAGGGCCCGTGGACTGTTTAAGGCCCCTCATCGGGGAAATTATTTCTAAGCTATGCTCTTCTTCATATGTTTCAGGGAATGGCGCCCCCTTAGGGATGGTTGTTGAGCCACTGAAATCAACAAGGGTTAAAATCATTCGGGGTTATAAAAGCAATACAACAATTTGAGCAACCAAAGCAACAAGTAACAAGAATAGTCCAAACAAATTCGTCAGTCTAAGCCCTTTTTGTTCTTTGTCTTTTTGACACGTCTGGCAACACGGCAGAAACTTGATCAGTTCATAGCACCAACACCTCGATTTGCACCCTGAACTTTGAACTCTAAGGGTCAAACAGCACGTGGGGCATGGAATATCACACACACGTTCTTTGACGTCATCACCGCTTTCGTCAGAATCGTCAAGTCCGTTCTTACCCAGACATGAACGGAACGTAGTCAAGAATCGCACCACTGAGCTAAGGAATCCGCCTCCGATCACAAGCGTCGTTATCAGCCGAGCATCCTCTCCACAGTCACAAGGAAAGTTCAAGAACAGGACCAGAAGCATTTGAGGAATCTCTCGAAGAATAATAGCTAGCAGAAGTTCCGAAAGACCGGACATTGCTCTAACTTTCCCGCTACGCAATCCGGTAACCATAGTAACCATAATGTTGATAATTTGTAGAACTGAAATCAGGGAGCCCCAAGCTGTTGCGATGACGACAAGGACTCGAAAAAGTTCACGTTTCTCATCGCATACCAATGACAAATTACCGAATGTTAAGTTGTATGGGTCTCTGGAGAGGCTGACGTTAGAGCTGCAAATCCAATTCTGATTCCGTATGAAAAACAGCCAATCGTTCACCGCGTCCCAAATGATGAACATCCCAGCCACAATGAGTAAAAATACCATACAAGGATGAAGCGACTGGTGTCGCGTTTCTTTGCGACTTCGGACCACGCTGGTATCCAATCTTGAAGAATATACCGAGCTACGTCCATCATTTGCTGGTCCGTAGACTTTGTAGTTTTCTGGGATGTTGGAATATCCGTTAGCCTTAGTAGAAGACATCGTAAAATTACTTCTTGGATGATCCGCATAATCAATGACCTTATCAAGCTCCTCGATTGCTCGCACCTCGGAATTTTTGTGGACCCTTACTGGTGCGTAGTTTTGTATTGCTTCTCGGGGAGAATTGCTGTACTCGGACGACCTAGGTCTGGGAAATTCCCTGGTACCATAGTTATCTCCTGTGTTTGCATATTCTCTAGGTTGATCCTCTCGTCCGGAATAGATTTTCCAGTCTGGGGAATCCTCTCGTGGGGAAACCCGTTTGGTCTTCTCACGATATGGATCGATATCCAGTTCAACGTCTTCGTCGATGTAGCCATCAAAAGCTGGATTGACTTGGGTTTGTGGTGATCCATACGGTCTGATGTCCCTTCGCAAAAGATCGGCTTTATCTTCCAAACGCATGCGTCTGTTATCAGTGGAAGGATATCCCGGGAATTCCGTTACTGCTTCATCCAATTCGCTGAGGTCGGAATCCCGTTTTCGATCTGGATATACTCTAATAGCTCCGGGAGGTCTCAGTTCTTGATACAGTCGCTTTTCCACTGGGGGATAGACAATTGACGAAGCTGCCGAGTCTTGTCTGGAATGCTTGTAGGGACTCTCCTCTCTAATGATGCTGGGTTCCCGTTTCGGAAGCCGGGTGGCAACGTCCAAAAAATTTGAAGCCTCTATTGCCTGATCTCTTGGTTTACCTACATCGTTGTATCGGTTGCGACTGTCTGTACGTCGGACTGGATTCCCACGGAACTCATCATCTTGTCGGATGTCGAAGCTTCGAGGAGAAAAGTTTCCGCTGGACTCCGGAGAAAAACTATCGTCTGCATGTCGCTCCTGTCGTCTGAACGACGGATTCCCGCCAGGATTTGCCAACTTCTTTTCGAATTTATTAATGACCCTCCCCACTCCTCGTGGATAAGTATCGACGGTTGACTCCGGAGTCGATGGTTCTGCAATGTCGTGCTCAAAACGTCTTTCGTTGTCGATTTTTATCGGCAGACGAGGTTCTTGGCGGCGATCCGACACTCTTCTGTCCACACCTAAATCGTTAGCATATGCATCAGAGTCTTTGTACCTTGGACTTTCTGATATTTCATCGGGACGTCGCTGACGCTCAGCGGCAGAATATCTGTTCGGACGTCTACGATCAAGACGTTCCTCCGTTTGATGATAATTGTTCGAGGCTTCATCTCGTTCGTCATATTGATCTCTCGATCTTGGACTTCTGTCGCCATAGTAGTCACTAGGACCTTCTCTGTCGTCTGCTAAATTCAAGGGAGGTAATGCTTCCTGTCGTCCATGTCGTCTGGTTCGCCTGTCCTGACGGATTTCGTCTGCGCTTTCTTGTCCTCTGAGAGGCTTGTTGATTCTAGAATTTAATTCCAATTGAAGATGATCGTTTCTTCGATCTGATCGATACATCTTGATCCCTTTATATGTCACTTCCGGTAAATCTATACCGTTACTTCCGGTTTTACAAAAGTTACTTCCGGTCTAGCCAAAGCTGCCTCCAGTTTATTTCAGATGATACGTCCGCTTATTTCAAACGATAATTTTTCTCAATTCGGACGTTACTTCGATTTCAGACGTGTTTCAGGCTTATTTGGAGGTTCGGCGATATATTCCAAATCAAGCACAGGTCAGATTGAGCCTATCATTGACCTTTCACACAAATTTCGAATTCCAAAGCGTCTTTCGGTATCTTAACCAAACACTTGCAAGACGAGCAAACGCTCGATTCAAGTATATCAAATGAAGGGTCTGTTTTCTTATCAGAAGTTGGGTCAGGTTATTTTCATATCTATGTCGTCAAGAGATAAGCTCATGTGAAAAATTGCTAAATATCCTTGCGAAATATTAACAATACTGCACTTAAAAGTATGTGGACTCTCAAAAGATGATGTTGAGTTCACAAACCAAACCAAAGTTAAAATTGTTCTGGAGAAATCGTGTGGAAACGTTCGATATGGTTCTCTCTAAATGGAACTTATTTATTAGTTTAGACAATGAAGATATTTTGAAGGGTACTGTATTAAAAACTAAAACACAAAAATCCAAAATATCGCTCTTATCTTTTGAAGATTTTTGGTGATCTTGGACATGACTGGACTGTTCCTCTGGTTAGCTAGTTTTTAACTATCTAGGGTGCTTTCTATCAGACAAGAGGACCGTACCGAGGGTCTAAATACACCATACGGTTTGAAACGTTAGCGTTCGCTTTGAAGCTACTAGTCCGTTTATTCACAGATTTCCTTTAAAAGTCGGTCCTTTGGAAGTCTTCCGGTTTGAACGTTTAGTCCTTTCGCAATCCTTCAGTTTGAAATAGTCCTTAGGAAATCCTCTGAATTGAACGTTTAGTCCTTTCGCAATCCTTTCGCAACTCTTTCGTCGTCTGAATACACCTTACGTCAGGTGATAGTACAAATCATTCTAAGACAAAATGTCGTCTGCACACGCCCATTTTACTTCTCTTATCAGCAATATTCAGGTCTGTTTAACCCCAACCGCGATTGTAAATTTACACCTGTCGAAAAAGAGTGTGGAATGTCTCACTGTCCAAAGCATTCTAAAAAGAATGGAGTTTTAAGATCACCTTTCTGCGCCTTATGGTTAAGATGAACGGCATGAAGTGTGCAATGAGGGAAATTTTGTCACGACAGCGGTATCAGCCTACTCAATTCCGATTTTCCCAATGTATTCTAAAGTTGAAATAGCAATTTAACGGAAATTTTGGACAGTGCAGTATAAAGGAGTTTGTCGGGGCAGTGGAACTCTTTTGTTTCCAATTCTTAACGAATCCTTAATCACCACTTGAACCATTTTGGAACTTCGGGCACACTTGGTATTTTTGACCAACCGACCCCAATATGCTATCAGGAGGTGTTTACACAAGATCAATTGATTTTAAATAGTATTTTATTCCCTTATCTTAATTAGTCCGAGATATCTGAACTTATCTCAACCTTTGGTCCTTTGATCAAAATGACAAAGAATCGTCGTTTCGAGTCTCAGACTCAGGGTTTTGGATGACGAAAATCGAAGCTGAAAGGTAAGACTTTTCTGCCAGGCGCAAAAAGGAGGTTAAACTACATTTCATTCCATTCGTCCAATAAGATCTGGTGTATCGGATTATAACGGGTAAGTGGGCCAATATCAGTTTCTTATCTGCGTTTATCATCTTACAATATATACAATAAATAATAATAACGGTATTTCCCAGAAGTCACAGCTTTATATTTCATTTGGGGTGGGAATATATTTAAGTCAAACTCTTAATGGGAGAGCTCCACCAGTAACGAGTTGGGCTGTTTTCACCAGAGTGATTATGTGCCGTGGGTTTGAATCTACTTTGGGACAGACAAAGATCTCTTAACGTCAGCGGAGCGCAAGCTTAACTTACACGGAGGCCGTTTACCCATCCGTCTATTACGTTTGAGGAACCGTTAGGACCATATTGTCGAGCTGTAATAAGGACATTATTGGCAGTTTTCTGTAATAAAGGAAAACGGCTGTCTTAATAAAGGCGTGTCTCTGAACTTTAGATAATATGTAATATGTATATTAATGAACGACAGATAAGTTATAAAATTGATTTATTACATACTTATATTCTTCATAGATCGTTTATAACAAATCTACGTTCTTGAGGAGGGGATGCCCATATATAAAACCCAACAGATCACTTTAGCACTATGCCTCACACACGTTTATTATTAGTCCGAAACATCCAAAATATTTGGACAGTTATGGGTTGTCGACAGCTTTAAAATTCATCACAGGCTGGAACAGAGGTAGATGTTTCAGTTAAGGGTAGTATCTCTGGGGTCAGAAAACGATGAGAAATGTCTGAACTTACAGACATCTTCTATTTCAAGAAGCTATTAAGAAATTCAACCCCGATAACAACAACAATCAGCTGTAAAAATAAAATTAGACCAAACATTTCCTTTAATGGATTACGATCAAAATCAACAAGGAAGATTCTATATTGAATTTCAGGCGAGATATAGGTACGATATACGCCCCGGTATTGATATGATAAGAGGTCACAGGGGGCTTCACTGCGTTTGTGTGTCATGCTGCATTTGCTTTAACTTAAACTGAAACTTAAGGAGGATATCGGGGCCATTTTTGATAAATTATAATGGTGCAGCACTTCACCTCGACTCAAAATTAAGTCATATATATAAGAAATTTATTCCGCATTTCCAAAACTAGATGTCCTGATGAAGATTGTGTATCCAAGATATGTGTCAGCAGTATGAGATGAGCTCTAGTCAATTAGCTAACATTAAGTCCTATATTGGGAAATTTAAAACTAGCTGTCCTGATGAGGATTTTGTATCAGAAATACCCGGCAACTGAGATAGGCTCTTGAAAATATGAAAATTCTTGGGCCAATGGATTTGTAAAAGACTTACAACAAACATCACTATGGGCAATATGTACAAATTACGTCTATAAAGACAAAATATATTGTTTCTATTGAATAACCAATCCATGCAGCAATTTCTGAGCTCAATTCAACTGAAGCTATGAAATTATTTCAAATTTTTAACGAATTAGTTATTTAATTTGACGAAAACTTTGCCAAAATTTAAGCAGAGTACAAAATTCCTGGAAGTTTGCGACTAAAGAAGGTGGAGATAACTGGTAATATATTCAGTCACGTGACTAAACTCAACATGGCTTTTGTAGAACAGTGAACAAAGGGTTTGTATTAATTTCAGCCTTTTTCTAACATTTTTAGCCATTTTATTCTATGCAACATGCAAGAGCAATGATCAGAGAACACATAGGAGTTTGTATTTGGACCATTCACTGCCAAAAAACACACGAAACGTTAAAAAATTTGGATTCAAATCTCCCTACTCAAAACATCCGGTAAGAAATTCTCCCAACAAATTGTCCAATTTCGCGACTCTCGATTTTGTCGCTCTTTTGCGCTCTTTTTCGGCCGAAATATGAACTTCCAAATTAACATTTGTCACATAAGAATTAGTTTGAAAATTTCAAAGTAATGCTGTAAACTATGATTTCAAAAGAAATTGAAAAGTTTAATTCAAGAATTTCATTTTAAGACAAAAATAAATGTTAATAACACTGGATAATAAAAAAAACTAGTTTTGAACACCCCTCCTAAAGGCTTTCTTTTTTTTTAGATTACATTATATATCTAATGGGTGTAATAACCACACTGAAACGTTGAAAGAAATAATTATTCTAGAAGTATCTATCCATAATATTTGTTTGATTTATAAGTTGTGCTCTTAACTTGGAACCATTGAAGGATTAAGATTTAACTAGTTCACACCTCAACTAAAGGCTTTCCTAATAACAAGATCAAATTTCTTATTTAGTTATAGAGTTATCATGAAATATGGAAGAAGATATGATCAAAGCAGAACAACTACAGCAGTCAAAAACAGAGGTAAATATAAAAATATGAACAAGATAGAAAGAGACCATAACAATGCTGGATGACAATCCAACTAACTACCAACTGAGCTATTCCACTGTCCAAGCAGATGACAATCCAATTCTCTATCAACTGAGCTATTCCACTGTCCAAGCAGATGACAATCCAACTCGCTACAGACTGAGCTATTCCACTGTCCAAGCAGATGACAATCCAACTCGCTACAGACTGAGCTATTCCACTGTCCTAGCAGATGACAATCCAACTCGCTATAGACTGAGCTATTCCACTGTCCTAGCAGATGACAATCCAACTAACTACAACTTAGCTATTCCACTGTCCAAGCAGATGACAATCCAACTCGCTACAGACTGAGCTATTCCACTGTCCTAGCAGATGACAATCCAACTCACTACCAACTGAGCTATTCCACTGTCCTAGCAGAGGACAATTCAACTCACTACTGACTGAGCTATTCCACTGTCCTAGCAGAGGACAATTCAACTCACTACCAACTGAGCTATTCCACTGTCCTAGCAGAGGACAATTCAACTCACTACCAACTGAGCTATTCCACTGTCCTAGCAGAGGACAATTCAACTCACTACTGACTGAGCTATTTCACTGTCCTAGCAGATGACAATTCAACTCACTACCAACTGAGCTATTCCACTGTCCTAGCAGAGGACAATTCAACTCACTACTGACTGAGCTATTCCACTGTCCTAGCAGAGGACTATTCAACTCGCTTCTGACTGAGCTATTCCACTGTCCTAGCAGAGGACTATTCAACTCGCTACCGACTGAGCTATTCCACTGTCCTAGCAGAGGACAATTCAACTCGCTACAGACTGAGCTATTCCACTGTCCTAGCAGACGACAATCCAACTCACTACTGACTGAGCTATTCCACTGTCCTAGCAGAGGACAATTCAACTCGCTACAAACTGAGCTATTCCACTGTCCTAGCAGACGACAATCTAACTCGCTACAGATTGAGCTATTCCACTGTCCTAGCAGAGGACAATTCAACTCACTACTGACTGAGCTACTCCACTGTCCTAGCAGAGGACAATTCAACCAACTACCAACTGAGTTACAAAAAGAAAGTGTTCCAACCTAGCATTACATGGAAGTTTTGATGTTTATTAGGAAAGTGTTGGATAAAACCAGGATTTTAACTTTGAATTTTCTGTCAATTTTCAGGAGACTAAAACCATGACCTCCTCACCCAGAAAGAGCGTCAGAGAAAAACGCAGACGTCAATCTTTCTCCCCTGACCCATTAAGATCTTCTGGTAAAAAATCAAAACCATCCAATAAAAATAGTTCTCCTACTAAAAGACAAACATCTACTACCAAAGATTCACACGCAACAAGCTCGTTCCACATAGGTAAGAAAAGAAAAAAACAATATTTAACAAGTATGGTCCTTGGTCCTTGGTCCTTGGCCAAACCTCTTGATAATGATCTTACAAGATAACAACTTAGATTCACGAGGATCCTTTCTACCGGCTGGTCCTTGGCCAAACCTCTTGACATTGACCTTACAAGGATAACAACTTAGGTTCATCAGAATCCTGTCCACCAGCTGGTTCTTAACTTAATCTCTTGGCTCTCATTTTTCCCAAATAACAACTTTGTTTCTCGAAGATCCTGTCTACCAGCTGGAACTTAGCCAAACCTCTTGGCATTGATCTTTCATTGGATTATCTATACCCATTTACAGCTAGATCAAAACACAAGACCATAGCATAATGAAGACAAATGCCTCATTTTTGAAACAATGCCCAAACTTTTGAAGTCTGTGGGTTTTTTTTCAATTCAACCTAGAACCCCTTATATTGAGTCACAGCCTTGCTTCTAAAGCAGTTTCAAATAGTTTGTTTTGTTATTTTAAAATGGTCTCATGTCATGTTCAATGGCACAAGGCTTTTGGATTACCATAATTTTGTCCAAACTCTTTCAGCTGTACCAAAACAACCACCATTTTGCTGTGGATTTTGTAAATCACCGTACGTCTCTGACCCAATGAAATCAAAACGAGGCTGTAGAACGAAGAAAAGTAGACACAATCCAAGTCCGAAGATTCATTTCGACCCAACAACTGGTAACAGAATAGAAATTTGTAATGCCTGTGGTGAGTCATTAATCAAAATTGAGACTTGCCCTTCTTAAGGCTATTCCATAGAGAACAGAATTGCTTGTGCCCCCAGCCACGCCCTTTGACAGTTCTGTGACCCCTACTCAAAAAATTCCTATATGTCTTCAAATTTACAAAACTGTTAAAATGTCTACATGCCAGCTTGTTGATTGGCTAGATTAAAAATCGACTATGAATTTGTATTTTCAGCTGCTCTCCTGAATCCAGTTCGAATTCCAGAACCCAGACCACAATTATCAGCAGAGGAGAAACAGACTATGTTAAACGAGGCTAAACAATTCGCTTTTAGACTGGCTCAAGATCTACATAATTGTGATGGTGAGGTTCTTTTCTTCATGTCTTGAAGTTGTAAAGGGTTAGAATAAAGATAAATGTAAGCCAACCTAGAGGATATAATATTTTCCCCTTTATTTCAGCTGAACGTTTATATTGTGCCCATTTTAAGAGTACAACTATTTGTGGCTGTCTACAGGCTTATTTAGTAGGTAAGTCATGTTTTTTATGTAGAAAACTAATTCGAGAAAGGTTTTTTTTATGATAATTTTAATGCTTGGCAAATTGAGCAGCATGACAACTACATAACAGATTTGAGAGATACGGATCAAAGTGCCTGAAATGTGAAAAATGTCTTGTGGTTCGGATGGGACAATAAATCGAGGGCCTGTGTGTTACAACCTATGCATGTTTAATTTCCCTTGACAGTTGGAAATAGTAAAAATGAGCTAATACCACTGTCCTGGCTAAATTTCCCCTATTGCAGACAGCATTGTGTTGCCTGAATTCATTCAGGTGCAGAACAGTTTGATGCATTTTATTTCATTTCTTAAATAAGCTAATTTTTATCCCCAACCATATTTTGTTATTTTTGGTGTATTATTTATGTATTATAGAAGATCGTGATGAAAAAGCAAGAGAGTTATTATCTATGATGGAGGAAGCCCGTAATTTATCTCGATTAAAATCATATCTTCCTACCAACGAGAAAAAGTGAGTTTCAAACTTTCATTGATGAAATAAAAGGAATTATTACATCCAACTTTTCTGCAGAAGACGGTGGAATGCCTTCAAAACTGTATTTGAAAACAGACTGTAGCTCAATTGATCATAGTGTTGGAATCTTGCTGTATTTTAAACTAATTGTGGTCATAGGTTGTAATCTCAGTCAATGTGTGAAAGTCTTGCCAGTCGGCTGTAAAATGGGTATTGAAAATCTGGGACAGCTGGTAGACTAAATTCTTGTGAACCCAAGTTGTTATCCTTGTAAAATCATTAACAAGAGGTTTGACCAAGGACCAGCTGGTAGACAGGATCCTTGTCAACCTAAGTTGTTATCCTTGTAAAATCATTAACAAGAGGTTTGACCAAGGATCAGCTGGTAGAAAAGATCCTTGTGAACCAAAGTTGTTATCCTTGTAAAATCATTACCAAGAGGTTTGGTCAAGGACCAGCTGGTAGAAAGGATCCTTGTGAACCTAAGTTGTTATCCTTGTAAAATCATTAACAAGAGCCGACTGGTGAAAGAAATTTGATTCTAATTTCAAATTTAGGCTGTCATCCTTGTAAAATATTTCTAATTTTCAACTATTATTTTCCAGGCAGCGTGTAGGTTTAGGAAACGGTCAGAAGAGAGCAAAAGAATTTGAAGATTATATTTTAGAGAAGAGAAGTTATATACGTCAAGAATTAAAACTATGTGAAACAGCTTGTAAACAAGTTCTACTGTATTCTAATAACTTTCTACATAAACATATGAAAACTGAATCAGTAAGTTATTTCTTCAGATCTTTTAATATATCAATCACTTCTGTCAGGGTTCCAATTTAAATTAGAAAATTTGCAATTGGTTGCAGAAATTTTTGGCTTATCAATTAAAGGTTTGATTCAAATTTCATAACAAAATGTTAAATGACCCAGTATGATGCTTGAGATCCACATTTCACAAGAAGAAGAGATCTTAGAACAAGCCATATTTTGAGGCTGTTATTACTGTATACTTGCGAAGATCTTGTGCATGTTTGTATAATGTACACACCCTTCCTTGGGGAAACTCCATTTACCTGTTAATAATGCGTGCCCCTCTTATGTAGGAAATGTGTTTAAAGAGGAGTAAGAGTAGCTATATTTTATCATTATATTATAGAGAAGAAGAATGAAGAGAACAAAATGTAAAGGAAAATTAAATATTTTACCAGATATCAAATCTCTACCAGATAAAACTTGCTGTATTGATATGTGTGTACAGGTTTGTAGATTTAATACACAGAAACACTGGTTGGGGACTCGGAGATATATGATTAAAAGATACACGAAAACACATTTATGTGAATATTAATTAAATTTCTCTTGATAATTGAGTCGTTACTAGGTGTTCTGACTCGAATTGCAAATACACAAATTCTTATACAGTGTCTACATAGACCACATCAGACCTTATCTATTTTAACCCTCTAGTCATAAAATATGTATTCCAGATGGCGCTGTCTCACTACTATCTACTATGTGAATGGAGAGAACGAGCTCAGACCTGTCAGGTGGAGGCGAGGAGAGTTTTAGCCGAGATGCTCACACCTTCAGGTAATATTTCTGTCAAATTATTCAAAGAATAAAAAATAATAATGTGAAATATTGACCAAGACTTATGCTCACAAATTTCACTTTTACTAAATGGTTCTGGTAAAAATCAATAAAACAGTTAAGCAATAGTAGCTATGTGGACTCTACAAATAAGATGCCAGAACAAACACATTCACCTTGTGGCATGAAAAGGTAAAATTGGTATGACAATGGCCAAAAGTTTGACCAACATTTGCTATCTGCACATGATATGGGTGATGTTCCCATTCTCAAAAATCTTCTCTGATCCTTCTCCTTATTAAAAAAAGAAGTTTGATTCGAGTGACGTCTAATGGTTATCATTTTAATTATCTTTCAGGAGGATCAGCTAAGAACTGTTATAAATTTATCCACTGGGTAACAGGATGTAGTAATAGTACGATACAGAAAGTTAACCAACAGATGAAAGCTACCCGAGGAAATCGTGAACCTCCTCGACATGGGCTACGCAAAAACTGGGAAGTGGAGAACCATATTGGAAGTCAGCAGGAACATGGTAAGACAGGGAAGAACTGAAATTCGTAAATTTTGAGCAATTTTTTTTTGCTAACGATCTGAACCGCAAAACAATATCCGCATATTGGCGAAACATTAGTAAAATTTAATGAACCTTTCACATGAAGAAGTATATCAATCATAAATGAGTAAGTATTTCATAATGAAAAGTGGTCTCTTGCAAAGGTCGTGAATTTCAAAACTTCCTATGTAGAAAGGTCAATTTTGTCCCATTTTTTCTACAGATACAGGTTTAAATGTCCAAACATTAGAGAATCCTGAAAATTACATCATAGTACCAGTGTCTGCTCCGTCGTCAAGCGTACCACAAGATAGTCCTGGAGAACAACTATCCAACATCCAAAAACAGATACTAGACCAGTTTGTCACCATTCAGCAGCAACAGAAACAAGTCTCGCAGCAAATCATGCAGAAGTCAACTTCACAAAGTAGCCTGGTATGTCAATATATTAATCAAAATTTCAGTAGCACATCATGAAACTGAAAGCAGTTAACTGTCAAAAGGTTTGGTTGAGAACCAGCTGGTAGACAGGATCCTTTAGCCCAAGTTGTTATCATAGTGAAATGATTACAAGAGGTTTGAACAAGAACCAGCTGGTAGAAAGGATAGTAATGAGTTGTTATAATTGTAAAGTCATTACCAAGAAGTTCAGCCAATGACCAGCTGGTAGACAGGATCCTTGTGAACCTAAGTTATTATCCTTGTAATATTGATACCATAGTTTGAACCGGTTGACAGGAATGGTCAGGACCTAAGATGTTCCCCTTGTATCTTTCTTTGGTGTTCAATTTTAAAATTTGTATTTCTATTTCCTTTCAGGAGGCCAGAAATGTTCAGTATTTAATAGAACAACTCAACACCCTTCAGCAAACAGTGGAGCAGATCTCTTTATCTAAGGGTCATGGGGTCACAGATAATCAACCAATCAGCACTCATCATCTGCATAGCAACCAAGGTCATGCTCAGCAAATGGCATCAAATTCGCAATACATGTCTAGTATCTCCAGCAGTCCAAGAGTTTCCGCATCAAGTAGTCCAAGCATTTCCATTGGTCCATCTGATAAAGTGAATGACCAATCAGCAGCCAGTCGTCAAATTTCATTACTGACGGGGAAAGTTGTTCAAAAGCAGCTTCAATTTCAATCACATAACCTAGCAACAACTAGTAAACATGTTACAGTGTTTGATAAACATCCACAGAAGTCAATTAGACAAAATCAAAGGGGAGTAACTCAGAAACCATCTGCAACAATTTCTTCAACTGGCCATCAAGGAATTTTATCACCAAATTCTACTGAAAAGACGATGTTGGAACCAAGAAATGATATCGATGCCCCACAGGCAACACCAATTCAGAAATCAACGAAACGCAGACACAAATCACATCCTGCTCCATCTAAAAGAATCGAACCTGTAGCGCAAAGATCCGCGAGCACGTCAGTTGAAATGATGTCACAACCAATTATTCAAATTAACCAATACAATGCTCAGAAACCTCAAGAAATTCAAGTTCCATTGACCAATCAGATTTCAGTAGTCAATCAGCTTCCACAAATTCCCCTTAGTAACACTGTTCCTGCCTTCGTTGGTGAAGACGGAATTTTAAATTTCATTACTCCAATGCCTGTGGCCTACAATATCCAAGCTTATCCAGCAGTTGCTCAAAAGATTACGGATGGCTCTGGTGGAATTCAGATATTACAACCAATCAGTAATCAGGTCTCTTCTCAAAATGGCAGAAACGAGCAGTCATTCATCATCGCACCTCCACCTGCCAATCAAATTGTTACCATGCCAACACAAGCAGGACAGCAGACTGTAGTTTATCAGCTTCCACCAGGATTTCAGAGCATCTCCATTCCTCAAGGGCAGCAACTCTCTGAAGCCCAGCCTCAACAATTTCAAATCATTCAACCAGGTCAGCAGCAGATAGAAGTTCAAGGTCAAATTCAGCCAATTCAAGTTCAAAGTCAACAGTTGCAGTTGCAAGTTCAAGGCCAACATTTTCAAGTTCAAGGCCAGCAACCAATTCAAGTTCAAGGACAACAGCCAATCCAAGTTCAAGGACAACAACCAATTCAAGTTCAAGGACATGTTCAGCCTATTCAAGGGCAACATATGATTCAGGTTGAATCACCCCAGCAGGTTCAAAATCAAGGACAAAAGCAGTTGCAAGTTCAAGGTCAACAATTGTTTCAAGTTCAAGGACACCAGCAGGTCAAAGTACCACAAGCACAGTCACAGTTGGAAAACCACAAAAGACACAAGCCACATGTAGTGCAACATCAACCGGGGTCTATACCACATAGCCACATTCTAGAAAACTTTCAAAATGATGTCGTACATCACATGGAAGGTCAAGGACTTCATCTGGCAGACCAGTACCAGGACCATCATCAGGTTCTTCTCCAGCAGCATGAACAACATCCACCACCAGCAAACCACCATGATGTTTTGAATCCACAAATTTCTGAACCACTTATTGGAAACGGAAACAGCTACCAGCATACTCTTGAACAAAGTGGCCATCTTCCATCCCTTGACCAAGATGGCTATCAACAACAAATTAGTACAGCCGAAATGAACAAACATGGTGTGCCATTGAATGATCATTTTCAAATCTTGATCAATCCAGACAACTCCGAGCTAGCTAGCGATGGATCCAAGGGTTCGGAAGACAACAATTTTGATCCAGACATACCATCCTCACTAACTCAGTCTGCAGATCTAACAAGGCCACCACCAATAGGATCTAATACAACTCAAAAGGGAGGTTCCACAAGCGGACCATCAAAGGTTTCAACCAATGAAAATACACAGGATTCAATGGATGATCATGACTCAGCAGTTTTGAAAGAAATGACAACAGAAGAAATCTTAAAAGCAAATGCAGCCGTGTCGGACTCTTTGGTTGGAAAAAGTCGAAGCATACATACTACCATATCTGGACGTGAGGAATTCGACGAAGCACGAAATCCGTCTACGTCTGCTTCTGCTGATTTGTCACATGATGCTAATTTGGACCAATCAAATGTTAAGGATTTGAACCCAAAACAAGCAAAGAGTAAACCAGTTAAAAAAGTTGCGAAAAGAAAACGCAAGGCTAAGCCAAAGACCCCGAAAAAGAAAGCGAAGACTCGCAAAGTCTCTGCTTCACCAACGGTGGCCTTGACACATACCCGTACCAATGAATTTGAGTCTGCGTCTGAAATTCAGAACTCTAATTTTTCAGATATGAACAATGTTGCTATCAATAGGGTCAAGGTCACTGCAGAGCAGCCTTTGAAAATTCGTCACAAGTCAGGAAACAAAACATTTGCGCCTTCATTCGATCTGGATCCCAATTTGAATATGACATCATCAAATCATGTGTACTCATCATCACATAATGTGTTGTCTGCTGTGACATCATCGTCTAATAGTGCTCCTCCTTCTCGATCATCATTAGCGAATACTCCCACCAGTCAGTTGTTAGCCAATCCAAATCTTCCATTTTTCATGTCGAGTCCCGATTACGAACATGCGTTATCGATCATGAACTCTGACCCTGATTTAACAAATATGAGAAATTGGAATTACGGAGGGGAGACTACTCCACCAGACCCTAATTTTTTGTCTCTTTCATCCAGTGACATCTTACAGATTCTTTCCAGTCACCATGATCCAAAAACTACTTAAATATCAAGATGATAGTTAACAAGGTTGTTAATATTCAAAATTGTCGAACCTGATGGACATGGTTGCCAACAACTACAATATACACCCAAATAGAGACAGGCTGAGCCTGTTAAAATGAAAAATAAAAACACAAGATGACTTTTGGTAACTAAAACTCTAAACATAAATAATTTTGGCATATATAACATTGATATTCTTTTTTATCATACTTTCATGTAAAAACGTTTTTTTCTTATACCCAAAATAGGGCATATCATTAATTTATTCTGACTTATAAAATGGCATCATATTATGAATATTCATCTTTTATTATTTTTTTTTTCCTGTTATTTGTTTTTGTTAAAGAATAAAATTTATTATGATTGAAATTTTGTAAATGTAAATGCTATACTTTCAATTTCATCACTGACAGGGAGAAACTTGGTTGAAATATCCAAATGTATTATCTCGACCTATGGCAGGATTGGATTAAACACCAGACTTTCAGGCTAGTGCGCCAGCGTCTAACTCACTGAGCAGCTCCCGAAGGAATAGAGTAGGGCAACAGAATTTTCCAGGGGGCAAACAGGATCAGGCATTTAAGAACTCGATTATATCAAAGGGGGGAGGGGACTGAAAACATAAACACGACCAGTCCATTTTATTACTAGGTAGAATAAATAGTAATTGGAACCATACAGACTAAACTTGTATTTTGTTTATTTCTACTTATTCAACCTATAATTAAAGAGGACTGGTCGTGTTTCTGTTCGCAATCGACCCAGATGTACACCAAATATCTTCACTCTACTATGAATTTAAGCCAAGATTTTAAAGCTGCATCTATTTCAACAAAAAAAAACAATAAATTTTTAACAAAAACAGTTTTATTTTGTAACTAAACACAAAAAAACTCCCATGATTCCGTGGAAAACTGACAGAACAAAAAAAAATAAATATCAATTGTCTTCCATTGCCTCCATTATAACTTCCTGTTTAATGACAACTCCGTCGACATCCCCCATTTCTGATTGGTCCATTTCTATGATGTCAGAACTGACACCAGCTTCATTTTTGACTACGTTTGATTGGCCCGTTTCTTTAACATTTGAACTGTCGTCTGCTTCATGTTTCACCTCAACTTCTGATTGGTGGGTTTCCTTTTCAGACGTGACAGTTGTCAGAGGTTTAAATTTCAGTTTCACAACTAAAGGTTCTGATTGGTTGGATTCATCCAAAGCACTATTTGATTGGTTTGTCTCAGAAACCACTTCCCTAAAGACTTGTGAACTTGTTTCTGATTGGTTTATTCCATTAGTTTGCTCAGAAGATTCTGATTGGTTCATTTCACTGGCATTCGTTTGCTCGGAAGATTCTGACTGGTCAATATTCTGACCATTTGAATTGTCGTTTGCTACACTGTTATTAAACTCAATCTTCACTATGTCCAGTTTTCGTTTTTTCGGACGTCCTCTTTTTCCTGGGATTCTAACTTCAACATCCTCTTTAACGTCAGATTTGGGTTTCGATGGCCGTCCACGTTTGCGTTTGATTGGCTGAAATTCAATCTCAATGTCAATGGGTTCAAGGTCGCCTTCCTCGTTAACACTATCATTAGCTTGAGTATTTGAAGTCTTAGGGTCAAGGTCACAAGATCCAGTATTCACAGCTTCAGGGTCAAGGCCACACGCCTCACTCACAGCTTTATGGTCAAGGTCATGTGTCTCGGCAACAATTTCTCTTACACTGAAGGAGTCAAATTCGGTGCCACTGTTGCCTTCTGATGAATTTTCTGCTTCTTCTATTTCTTCTTCTTCGCCTTCTGTTTTCAAGTTCTTTGGATGAAACTTTGTGGTCATGGGCAACATCTTCATTCCTTGAAAACAGTAACTATGGAAATCAATTGCTTTGTCTGGAGTATCTAAAGATTTCTTTGATGTTTTGTATTCTGGTTGCGGCATGTTTTCTTGACGTGCAGAGTGACGACGATTTTCTGGCTCAAGAATTTTCACACAAGTTTTACTTCCTTTGGGTCTGCCTCTTTTCTTTTTACCCGGAGTTTCACTTTCATTAGAGTTATCTCCCTCCTGACTGTTGTCTAAAGAATCGTTGAGATTCTGTTTACCCGGATTGTTTGATAATGCTACCATGGTAACTGGGACAGGTTTTGGTTGATTTGGGGGTCGTCCCCGTCTTCGTTTCAATGGAAAAGGGTCATACGGATTGGAATTTTCTGATCCTAAAAAAATAATACAAAAAAGTGTAAGTCAAGAGAGTGGGTAACAATCAATGGAGTTTTACATCCTGCTTTCACTGTTTACGTGTAGACTAATAAAGATGGCACCCTATTAAATGGGCAATATCAGAATTTGTCATGACTGTGGCACCAGCCCACTCCTTTTCTTGATGGCAAAAGATGACGGAAATTTTACCAGGACAGCGGCACCAGCCTACTCTTTTTCTTGAAAATATTCAACTTTTGAGGGAACATTAATGTGCACAGCGTGAAGCAAACAAGACCATGGTTCATTGTCCCATCCGAACAACTGGATGCTTTCTACATAATGGTGAGAATCTGTATTGAAAGATCTCAAGATATTGAAACTGAACCTTCCAGCATAAAGGGTAATATGGTAATAAGCCAACCTGGATTGTTTATAGAAACTTCACACGTGCTTCCTCCTGGTTTGGGATGAATTCTTGGGCGTCCACGAGATCGTGATCGTTTCATTTCTGTTTGGTCTGCTGGTTTAGGACTAGCTGAATCTACAATAAATAAAATATCAATATATGATACTGACAGCCTTCAAGCAAACTTAGAGAGTGGAAAAGGCTATAGTAGAGAAATCAGTAAGCCAACCTAGAGAGGGTAAAGGGCTATAGTATACTAGGCTATCAGTATGCCAACGAGTGTTAACAATAATAGCCAACCTAGAATATGTAAGGAGTTATTACTTACTTGGGTACAAAGGAGTATGGTCAAGCTAGCAGCAGTTAGCCATCCCAGAGGGTGTAAAGAGTTAAAGTAAGGAAAGCAACACGCCATTCTACAGGGTTTAAAGGGAGATAGTAAAGATAGCAGTTAGAAACAGAATAGCTAATCCTAATAGATCAAAAATACAGAATATGTTACAAAGCTGAGACAAACAGAAGCAATCTAAAGAAATTGGGAAAGAAAATAAAAAAAAGCAGAAGGAAAAAGTTTAAAGCATTACCTCTATAAACACCATATCTGCAAAAGACGAAAACAAACTTGAATAAAAAACCTAGAGCGCAAATAATAACACATCTGTTTAGTTGTTTTCATTTCAACGGTTTTTGTTTTTTGATTTTAAGAGCTGCGTTGTGCGTTCGTGTGGAACTCATGGTCACTTTCATTATTCGCCACCAGACTTTGGGGTTAGGGCACTTTAAGGTTTGAACTTTGACCTACCTCCTGCTCAAATTGTCCTTCAATTCCTCGAGTATTTGTTGGTCTTGAGTATCTTGTGGAGTGATTGGTCTAGAATAAGTCGATGATAACAACGCTGGCCACGTAAATATCGACTGGAATCGAGCCCGTAATTTTTTATAATCATCTGATTCTTTTATTGAATTCATCATCTTTTCTTCAGACTGCAAAAAAACAAGATTTTAGATAGGGGTGGGGTCTGAAAGGAAACTTTTAGGGCTTTTTTATGTGTATCTGCAGGATAGCTCAGTCCAAAGTTGGATTGTCCTCTGTCCAGAAAGTAGGAATAGCTCTGACAGAAGCGTAAGTTGGTTCTTCTTGTTTGCTGGAAGTTTATCTTCCACAAGTTTGCTAATTGAAATAGTTGGGACTATTTATAATGCCAGGGCCAGGTTGTGCTCCCCTGTTAGATTAGAGATCCACAAAGAAATCTTTTGACTAATATTTTAGCATCAATCATACATGCAGACAAAAAATCAGGGCAAATGAAAAGAAATTTGCATATTTTTCAAGTGCATAACTTACTGATGGTTCTTGGTGTGAATTTGTTGAAAATCGACACACGACAGAATCATCTGCTACCTTGGTAACCACAATGTCATCTTTATTTTTAGATTTCCGTGCAAGTTTCAGAGTTTCCGCCTTTTTCTTTTTTTTAGCGGCATTTTTTTTATCGAGTAAAGTCTTCTTCTCACCTTCTTCCTCTTCCAAAGTTAAGTTTTTTTGTATGTGGACAGTTTCGACATCCTTTGACGACTTTCCAACGATTTTATCTTCGGGAACTTGGATGTTGGCTTCTTCTAATTGTGATTTAGGATACACATATATCACTTGTACGGATTGAACAGAATTAGCTTTCGATTTGGGGTTTTCATTTTTTGAGTTCGTACTTGATTTTGGTGTCGCATTTACACTGGTTGAGGTGCTGGCCCTTTTCTCATTAATTACAGTTTGATTTCGTTTTGGCGTCTGCTTCTCAAATGTTAGACCTTCATTTTTTGAGTTTGTATTTGTTGTCGGTGGTGCATTTAGGCTCGTGGAGCATGCTTGGTTCTCTTTAGTTACATTTTGATTCTGTTTTTGTGTTGGTTTTGCGACTGTTGGTAAGGGTTTTGTTTGTGTATATAGCTGTGGGCGTGGCCTAAGAAATGAATCTAATGGCTTCTTAATGTGCTTCCCTCGAATCATAGCATAACAGTTTCCAGCGCGTTTGACTAAACAAGGTCGTGCCAGCAGAAGGGATTTGAAGCCGCGAAGATTAGACAAATTTGGCGGCAAAAGTGGAAGATCTTGTGGGACACTTTTGGGTTTTAGTGTTGAAGTTGAGGTAGATGGTGTAGGTGGCGCTGTAGATGTTGCAGGGGAGAGCATCCTTGACTCTGCAGCAGATGTATTTGATGATTCTGTAGCTAAAGTGGATGAAGATTTAGATTTAGAAGAGTTTGCTGACATTGGAACAGGGGGCGCTTTAGATGGTGTACAGGTCATCGAAGTTGACAAAGGGGACTCTGTTGGTGTAGAGGTCACCTCTGGCCGTCTTTTCGGCGTAGATGGCACTGTTGATGAGGAAGAAATATCATCGTCTAATAAAATTGGTGTAGCAGACGTCGTAGGCTCATTTGCATACTGTTTCTTACTTCCAATAGATTTTCGAGTCCGTCTGCCTCCAGATTGTGGTGTAGAGGGTGCTACTAGAGTGGCTGAATCTTCTTCCGTTTCGAAATCTTGTTTGGAATTTATGTAACTTCCATCTTTTAATACAACTTCTCTCAAAATGGCCAAATCTTTTTCTCGTTGAAATGATTTTGGTTTTTGAGATGCTGTTTTTAAGATTTCTTTCCCATCCACTGCCAGAGCCTGAAGAAAAAAGGGTGACAGTTTCAAACACAAAAGATCTTGGTCTGAACGGTATTTTGAACCCATAGCATAAGAAATTGCCATAATTTACGCTATCCATTCAAAAACACTGTTATAAGTAGTTAGACACTATAGTAAAGAAATCTTTTATAGAACAAAGCATTTGATTGGTTGAAAAGTAAATGACTCAGAACAAGAAGTGCATAGCAATTTCATCAGATCATAGATGGCAAGTTGAGTCACCTGGAAATGAAAACATCAAACTAAAAATGCAGAGGTGCACTTAGTCTTAGAATATATTTGAAATTTCTAAAGATTTACCTTATTTATCAAAGCCAAGATGGCTACTGACACTTTCCTCTCTTCTTCTTCCTCTACCTGAGGTTGTACAGCTGAAATTTATAAAACACTTATTAGCTATGTGGACTCCCTGAATTGTATGAGTTGACAAACCTAAATACCAAATAAACATCATTATCTATGTAGACTCTCTGAAAGAGATGTCTAGTTGACAAACCTTATATCAAACAAGCATTATTAGCTATGTGAACTCTCTGAATTAGTTTTGACTTGATAAACCTCAATAACAATGAACCCTATGTGGACTCTCTGAAATTTGGTTCCAGAGTGAACAAACTCAAATGCCAAATAAACAATATAATAGCACTAAGAACAAGATGACAAGTTAATCATATTAGCCATGTGGACTCTATGAATTGGTTTAAGTTGACAAACACTGTTACATAGTAACTCAAATGATCTGGATCCCAATAAGACGCTCAGAGTTCAGTACTTACGGAAAAAACGTTTGGGTCTTCCAATAGAGCCTGGCTTCTTATTGGGTCCTTTCACGATCGAACATAACTCTTTATAGACTTTGGTTCTAGCACTGCACCTATCTCGTCTTGCTCCTTGTTTTTCTTTCGGAGCCTGACGAGCCATGGCTATCAATTTTTTAACAGACGCAGATTGAGAGGCGTCGTCCTCCATTTCTAACTTCAGTAAAATATCCGTCTTCTGTTGTTCCTGAAAATGGGAATAAAATAAAATATAATTTTTGTAGTTTTGGGCTAATGAAGATGAGCAACATCTGGCAGTGTGCAATGATGGAAGTATGATAGTGCAATATAGATATAAAAGAAATGAAATAGGTTGTCAACGATCCAGGGCCGCGTTTCACAAAAAATTTCACGATCAATTTTGTCGTAACTATGGTATTTTTCAATGTAAATTTCTACACTTACGACAAATTCTTACCGTAAGATTTTTTGTGGAATGGGGCCCTGACTACCAAACCTCTTGGCAAAGATATTTCTCAGATGCTAACCTGACAAACCTCAGCTTTGTATAGAAGTGACATAAGAAGTGACATTTTATGTCCGGTACTAAATGGCTGATAACATCAGTATTCTATGCCCGAGGAATGGGCAGGGATAGATTTGTGACTTATTCTAGGCTCATCCCCAGACTCTTTCACTCCATCTCAAATCATAACTTGACCAGATTTTTTCACCAACCTAACAAGGCACATGATGTCATAAAATGGCAACACTCTAACCAATCTGAACTACTGCCTCTCTAATTTTTGGTGAGCTTAAATTCAAAAGCATCAGAAAACAGAAACAAACCTTTTCAGCATCAGTTAAGTCTTTTCCCTCTAAAGTTTTGTCAATATATTTTGACACAGCCAATCTGTCCTTAAACTTGACTAGAGTTTTAAATTTCGGTCCTCGAGGCGGGAACTGTAGTAATGGTGGTAGAATGACCACACTGTCTTCTGAAAGTTAAAATTAAAAATCGGATTCAGATGTCTGTTTCAGAAAAATAGCCTAATAAGATTCTAGTGTTCCAACCATCTGATTGGTCAAATTGAGAGATGAGGCCCCCTGATTGGTAGAAAGAGCTAGACTTAATAAGATTTTGCTGCGCCTGTAACGCGGGCTATACAGAATACAGTCTTAATATCGAGGGCTCTGATTGGCTGTATTAGCTTGACATTGTGAAGATGACAGACACTGGGTAAGGCCAGAGTTGTCAAGCTAGGGAATATGATGTTATTTTTATTAAAAGAAATTTGTACCTCCATGTTCTAGTCTATCTTTTTCCTGTTGATCATAATGATCAGGGAGTAGACCGAAATCACGATAATATGACTTCCAGTTCACATTGGGTTTCTCACTACCTCGACCTTTTTTCGCGGGAAATCCTTGTAACATCCTCTTGACAGGATCCTAGGGAAAGAAAATATCTGTCACATGTCATGGATGTCATGGTTACTGAAAATGGGCAAGGCCAAGCAAGTTTTGCCACGACAGCAGCATGAGCCTACTCTATATCGAGTTTTAGCTGTCACAGGATCTGAAAGAGTAGCATCTAAAAGATCTCCCATCCCTACGACTAAATATATTTTTCAAATCATCCTGTACGACCTGCATCACTGACAGTTTCACAAAAAGAATGTTTAGACTTTCTGAGAATAAGTCACCCTATCACTTTTATTAAGATGTTGAAAAGGCAAGGGAATTCAACTTCAGAAACTATACATAACTCCCCCCAACAGACAAGTTGGCCAGGAAAACTTACCGATTGTTTATGGAACCAAGTGACTGTTGATTTCCATTGCTGTAGTTTTTTATATCTGGTGAGAAGATGGTGGTCTGTACGACCTGGCATGTACGGCACCATTTTAGACCAGCATCCTGCAATTATAAATTATTAACAGTCATAACATCTCTGATTTTAGAATAACGTACTGCAAAGTAAAGTTAAATAAAAATCTGTACAAGCAAGACAATTACCTTAATCAAAAATCCTGTAAAAGTTGTAGAGTAGTGGACTCCTCCAAAGAGAAATACCATCAGGTGTTTCGAAAAGAGTAAGCATGGTCTGCTTTGCTACATAATGCGATTTCGTTCCATTATCAGATTGGGCTAATGAAGATTGCCAATATCATGCCATATGCAATGAGTTAATCTAATGCAAATATGAAACATTAGGAAAATAAATACCCCAAAAAATACAGCAAATATGAATTTAAGCCTACAAACCTGCACCAAATTCCTTAACCAACTGAAGAAGTCTTTTATCCTCTTGATATGAAAAAGGTTTTCCCAGTTTTAACGACGGGTCCAAATAGTTACAATATCTGAAACAAGACAACAATATATTGTTTACAAGACATATAGAAGTAGGAAGATTACAATAAAACACTAAGATATATAGATATACTACTGCATTTATTACATACTACGTTTAGAAACACATACAGTTAACATTAATAACACAAGTTATATAGATATACTACTTCTAGGTTTATTACATGCTACGTTTCAAAACACATACAGTTAACATTAAAAACACAAGATATATAGATATACTACTCCTAGGTTTATTACATGCTACGTTTCAAAACACATATAGTTAACATTAAAAACACAAGTTATATAGATATACTACTTCTAGGTTTATTACATACTACGTTTCAAAACACATACAGGTAACATTAAAAACACAAGATATATAGATATACTACTGCATTTATTACATACTACGTTTCGGAACACATAGAGTTAACATTAAAAACACAAGTTATATAGATATACTACTTCTAGGTATATTACATGCTACGTTTCAAAACACATACAGGTAACGTTATCAAGTAAAAAGTTTTACGACTACATTCTGATTCCAAAGAATAATCCTTACCGTTCTCGACATTGTGAAGCATTACGTTGTGGTATATATTTACTACAAGACGTCCAGTCTTTTGATCCCAGCAGCTTCACAGCTAGCATTAATCTCTGAAAAAAACCAAACAGACCAGAAATAACAAACAGCTTTTCACAACGAAACACTTCCTCATTTATAATTGATATACTACCTCTTATGAATATTTCATTTAAACTACCAATGCGACTGGAAACTGGAATGGTTCAAAACGTAGCAATGATTCCAAAAAAAACAGAAGAATTGGAAGAATTAAATAAAAGACTTACTACATCTTCTTCTGGAGTCCATTTACTATGTTTAACTCCAGGGTCAACTGATATCCATCGTTTCCTACATTGATCAGCACTCCTAGCCTCCATTAGGTACGATACTGAAAACACGAACACATGATTAGTCTTTAAAATCAGGGGCCTGTTTCACGTGGAGGGTGTTGAACATGAAGCAGACCATGCTTACCCTTTTCAAACACCTGATGGTACATCTACTATACTATCATTGCTCCTGATATTGTCATACTTTAACCGAGATGTCTGGTTACAATTGTTTTAAGGATTTTTATTCAGTAAGACAAATCTAGGCCACATATTCTCGAAACGATCTTAACACTAGGATGTCCTAGGTTCTTATCTTCTAACATTGACTCTAGGATATCCTAGGTTCTTATCCTCTAACATTGATTCTAGGATATCCTAGGTTCTTATCTTCTAACATTGATTCTAGGATATCCTAGGTTCTTATCTTCTAACATTGATTCTAGGACATCCTAGCACTAAGATTGTTTCGAGAATAGGTTGCAAGATTTCTAGAAATACAATAATCTGATTGGATGATACAGAGTCAAAACGATCAATCAGATGAAATTTTGCTAATTTGAAACAAATTTTGGATTGAATAACAGGATTCTGGAAGTAAATATTCAAAACTTACTCCTCTGCCATCTGACTTTATCAGCCTGGACATCTTTGTTTTTTTCATAGGCTTTTTTCAACATGTCATCTTCTTCTCCTCGCCATGTCCTGAAAATAGAATATTAATAATAGGAAAAAATTCACTGATATAGACTCGATTTAGATTCAAATGAAATCACTTTGAGTCTTTGAAATCGAGAAGAACAACCAGTTATCAGAATGAGGTATATTATTTCAATGCAAGAATGACAAATAGTTTTATATGCTATATACCAGCTAACAATGCCATGAAGTAGGCAATAGGGACAATAAATTAGAACAGCAGTGCAGCATAAACCCATAATTTATAGCTGTACATGGATCTATAACATCCAAAATCTGTAGTTGACTCTTGACTCTACCCAATTTCAAGGCTATAAAATCTAAAGAATCAATGCCTGATCAAACCCAAGTCCTTTATATAGGCAAATAATGGTCTTCAAGGTGATCCACCCAAGCTGCCATTGCTCATATTAGACTTTGTGTTGTCTAAAATACAGTCTAAATGGAAGCGTCACCAACCTGTGTTTAAGAGTAGCATTAATATCAGTTTGGTAATACTGCATGGCTTGAAACGGCGATCTCTTCGTCTGAAAGTGACAGAAAAAAAATACAATAAATAATCAGAAGCAAGGTAGACAATACTAAGTACATGCAGTACGCGATGGGGGACATTTTATCCCGACAGCACCCTCGTTTATCTTCTATTTTTTAAAACCTAACTGTAGCATGATTAGGGGCATACGTAGTCTGTCATACACAAGGCAAGAGCTTTCTATAAGGAAAAGAAATGAGGTGACATTTTCTTCAAAGTGAGCAAATGACTTGACTAAAAGTTACATAATGTGTCTAATCTGTTAAAGAATGTTATCTTCCATAATATTGTGTTTGTGATATGTGCTCTTTGCTTCTAAACGTCCTACAAATTTTGAAATTCGGATGTTAAATTCTCAAAATTGTGGTCAAGTTACCCCAAGTTCTTCTGCTATCTGTTCCCAATGTCCAGTTCCATATTTCTCCAGTAATTCTTCTAATTTCTTCACCTCACTTTTCTTCCAAGTTGATTTGTTTATTTTAGGATCGATGGCAGTCTCCCACATCTTCTGACACTCGAACCAATCACGTTTTCCACCAAACTAGAATAATAATTTCAATGAGATATAAATATCTGTACACGCAAGACAATTTTCCTTGATCAAAATCTTGTCTAAAGTATGTCAAAATTGGAAGTATTGTGGTATAGTAGTGGATTCCTCTAAAAAGAAGTACCATCAGGTGTTTCGAAAAGAAACAACATTTTGTACAAGGACAACTTAGGTTTACAATGATTCTATCTACCAGTTGATCCTTGGCCAAAACTTTTAGCATTAACCTTTCTCAGCTTTCCGAAATCATTCACAGCTCGACTAGAATTATGACCATTCTTTCAAATAACAACCAAGAGTATCACCCACGACCACCATTTGTTGAACTAAACAAGCAAATGACGTCATGTACAGATTTTTAAATATTATCCAAGAATAAAAGACTAAATAATTGAGACTTACATCAACTGTAGATATCCTCATCCAGTCAATTTTTTCAACATCCACTTCTTCCAGTAGCTTCTCATTCTTCGTCCGACTGAATCACAAAAAATAGACAATCAATCTTTCCTGGATGAAAAAATCAACTAGTTGGCATAACATAATGTAATGGCACCCTTTAATTCATTACCACTTGGCTAGAAAAACCTCTGGCCCTATAATACACCTACCTTTTCTTTTTGATCTCCTTGTCGAGTTCCTCGATTGTCTGGTTAATCTTGTCTTTATTCTCACAATCTGGCAACTGACGTTTATTTTCTAATACTTCCCGTTTATTCATCAGGGGCTGGATGATATTTCTTAAGGCATCTTTACACACCGAGTTGATTAATTGTCTTTCTGCCACGATCGTCCCTACAACACCGATTCAAAAATAAAAAGGGATACAGTCACCAGATTTTTCCGTAACATAGCTGATCGTGTAGAACTTAAAGAGATTGTTAAGAGATTTTCTAAATTTTGTATGCGTATCTGGGATATGATAGTATCAATTTGTATCATTCCAATTATCAATTTGACGTCTGTGGTTTCTGAAATTCCACTAAAACTAAATGTTTTATGACGTCACTATCACGAAGCTCTTAGACATCATTAGCATCATTGAATTTTAAATTTCAAGATCTACTTTCGTTACTAAGGAAGAATAAGTAAATAATTCCCAGAATGCAACAAAAATCAACTTACAAGCTGAACTTATAACTACATCTTGTTTCTTCTCTTGTAGAAAATCTTTTATTTTAACATCTTCATTTGGTGGAGGACCCTGAAATAATCAACAATAAAATTAATTTCCCTTCTCCCTTGTGATGAGAGCTCAGAAGATGACAACTTTTTCAAATTGAAATGAAATACCTTACACTCTTCTTTTCTAAACCATGTGGGCTAATAAAGACAGGTCGCTGTGTGCAATGAGGGAAATTTTTCCAAGGCGGTGGTATTAGTATACTCTTTTTCGATTTCCAACTGTCAGGGATCTTTAACATTCACAGCCTGTAGCACATAGGGCCTTGGGTTAATCCAAACTTTCCATGTCGGCCCCTCCAACCTGCATCACTAACAAGATGAAACAGGAAGACTCATTCAAGCACAAAACAAACTGGACATAGGGCAATGGGTTAATGTTCCATCCAAACAACTAGATGCTTTCCATTTCAGCCTCTCTGACACACATCACAAGGGTAAGCTGAAAAGACTCATTCAAGCACAAAACAAACTGGATTCAACAAAATGGCAATAAAATCTCACTATTCCATTTTCATCAGAGAAGAACGGTTGTGTGTAATCTTTGGCCTTCTTGGATTTATTTTCTTTTGGCGCTTTCATTCCTTCTTCCAGATTCAGTTCCAGCAATCTCTGAAAATAAAAGACCAATTTTAAGAAACTACCCTAACAGCTCAGTCAGTAGCAAGTTGGATGGTTGTCTGCTGGGTGATTAGGTGGAGTGGGTTTGAATCCTCCTCAAAGTAAGAAGATTTCTGATGCCTCTCATCCACTAATACCTAATGTGTTTGCTTACTTTCCTGCACCCAAAACTGCATGAGATGAGCTCCAGTCAATCTGGCAGCAAATATTTTTTCTATCAAAAAATCATCCAGCCTATAATTTTCGGTATTTGAAAACAAATTTACAATCCAGTCTTACCTGTTTTTCTCTGTTTTCTTGTAAAGATTTTTTGATCTGATCGAGATGCTCTGTAATAATTTCCTGGTATGCTCTGTTTAATGCTAGACAGGTCTCTACATCCACTGGGAGCTCTGTCGTGTTGGACTCTACTGTACTGTCTGTTAGAGAGTAGACTTGGCTTTTAGAATCTTCATCAGTTATCATAGACTGGAAATACAAAAAACAAAAATTATTTGATTTTTGCATGGGCAGAATATCTCTAATATAAATGTTTTTCTTTATTTTTTATGCATATCGGGGACAATGATAGCATCAATGTGCAGTGCATTTCAAAAACTAGTTGTCCTGATGAGGATTATGTAGGACTATCCGAAACATGATGACAGTATGATAAGATCTTTCATTGCAAACTGAAACACTTACTTCTTCAAATGTTGTGCCAGTCAAACCAGACGTAGAAGCAGAAGACACTGGAAAAAGAAAATTCAATAAATAAATCCGTTGACAAATTAATTCCAATAAATTTTGAGATTGGTTTCCAAGGCCAAAAGATAAGTCTGCTGCCCGGTGGCTGAACCAGATATGGACCAATCAATTGGTCGGTGAGTGAGGGCACCAGGTATTTACAAACACAATAATAATAAATTTGATTGTGGGGGTTGGGCAAAACTGGGTCAGTCTCATGATTAATATGCTTGACATCATTTTCTTAATTTGAGCCAGTTTCAACATGGCTGCCATTCAGACTTGTAGTCTATCAATGTAAACATTTCACAATAACCATGCATTCTACTCCCAGAATTATATTATCAATATTTCAAAACTAAAAACAAGAAATGAAAGGTACTTTCAAATTTCGCATAGACCGGCAAAAATAATTTTAAATTTTAATAAAATAAAAAATGTGGCCGTACCATCGCGGTAGGTTGAAGTGCGATCTTTTGAGCTTAACCCGAGATCTAAGAAGAGCTGGTCCTCTGTCGGCTCGTCACTGTCATACTCAGCATCATCATCGTCTGCTTCACCTAGAGCATCTTGAATTTTCTCAATTTCGTCCTTCAGAACAGAAGCATCACCTGCCATCGCTCTTTTTTCGGTAAATGGCTTCAACCAAATCTGAGCATTTCGCGCTACTAACGTTGATTCTCCACGTTGGGATAGTGTATTTACAATGAGGGTGTGTTCTTTAATTCAAACCAAGGATATTTGACATTTTAAAGTTGGCATGTGGCTCTTTTGATTATAAAATTCCTGAACAATTGGAAGTAATGAAACTTTTTCAAACTTTCAAAGCAAAATTCACGTCTGCTAAATTAAACAAATTTCAGTCACCATCCTTTCACCCCTTCTAATAATGAGAGTTGCCGGAAACGGAAGTCATGCGACTGAGTGTAGAGACTGTCGCAAGTCATCATGGAGGCGAAGTTGAACGAATTTTTTCGCGAATGAAAAAGCGATGTACTCAACGAAGCTATGACTGTTTCAACTTGAAAACATCATCAGGTTATAAACTATCCCCCATTCGACAAATCCCCTGCCTGTCTGTCCCGTATCATTCCGCTTTAATGAAATTTTTTCCAATTTTCTTACCCTACCCTGAGGCCATTTTATCAGCTGATTAGGTCTGTGTGTGCTCAAAGTAAACAAACATGTTCAGTGTTTCACTTGTGGTCGACTGGGGCCGGGAATGCACCTAACCTAGGACCGAACGAATAAGATGTACATGTAAAAGCCTTCATTGCCAGGCAAACATTGATAATAGGAATGTAATATTTGTATAGAGCTGAATATCATTTTCCTTTAGGATGGATATGGGGCCTGGGGCAGCACATGATTATGTCATAATCCTAATGTAGGCCCTACATGCTTTTAAACATTGAACATCCTTTTCACTGGTAGAGCAAAGTGTAATACTTCAGGTTTTCTTACAGTCTTGGGCTATCATAGGTAACATTTTAACCAATGAGCTTTTTTCATGTTAACATTCATTCAATTATTCTGCTGAAGATTTGCTTGAAAAAGACTGACAATGGTCTTATTCTTTCAGATGGTTTACTACAAAGCGATAATCTTCTGTGCAAGGACTAAAAGTCTATAAAGTCACCCTGCAAAAATGGCATCGAATACAAAAATGGCGTCAAGTATTCAAGGGGAGTTAAGAAACTATCAAGTGGAGGAGATCTTTCCACTGTTAGAATCCACAGATCAACAGGCCAGGGAGGAAATCAGGAAACTTATTCTGGAAGATATCAACAATTGTGGAAGTAAGTTCTAGTTTGGTTAACTTTCATTCAGGGGGTTGGAGAATCGGCGTTAAACCTTTCCCTCTTATAAATAGATTAGACCCTGGTTCACTTTATCCAAATAGTTTTGTATGATGCGATGAATTTGAAGCAATCAAACCAATCTTTTCATACGAGAAGTTGCCAATACTCATAAATTATACATGAGTTTTGAGCGTGTGTGTTCATATTACAAAACAAACTGTATGTGACAGGGTGTTGATTCAACTTGATTGCCAGTTTGAACATCAAGCAGTGCCATATTCAAGGTTAACCTAAATATCAATTAATGTGAATTGTCTTCAGAATTAGTTTCATTTCAATTTAATGACATTATGTCATATTTCCTTTCTAGCTAAAGAATCATGGTTGTTACAGTCATGTTTTGATCATTATTTATTAACCAAGTCAGAATCAGTCCAGCAGTTGTTACCAGAAGTAAGAGATCCTCAGTCTAAGGTCAGTTCACAAGACTTAAAAATACTCCTAAAATCTTCAAGATATCAAGGCCCTTACAAGTTTACAAGTCTTAAACTTGTTGTGCCTTTACACCCAGGCCTTAATGAACTTACAACATAGTTACAATTTCCATCTACTGTGATCTGGAGATGTAGCTCAGTGAGTTAGATTGTTGCTTGCTTACCTGAAGTTCTAGGGTTCAATCCTCAGATGGGTCGAGATAAAGCCTTTGAATTTTTCTACCCGGTTTCTCCTGACAGTGTTGCAGGTCAGAGGGACGGACATGGAAAAAAGGTCTAGTCATTTGCATAAAACAGTTCAATGGGGCTCTAAGTGCTACAGACAATGCATGTTAAAAACCCACGACAGTTGGAAGCGGAATATTATAGGCTAATGAAAAACTTTCATTTCAGCATCTGTTAGACAGAATAAACGAGGGTATTAGAACAGTGAATAATAAAATGGCGTGTTTACAGTTGTTACTAAATATAGTTTGTCGGCAGCCCCAGTGGACACATCGTATTGTCGGACTTCCTGTATTTAATACTCTTATAAAATGTCTAAAGGTAAATATTAACATTTTACATGACTTCAATACTGAAGCAGTTTTAAGTTGGGCCTCGGTGATTGCTTTAGGTATGTTGTCAGGGCCTAACCCTAACCATGTTCCTTCAGCAACCGTCAGATGATAATGATCATCTAGTCATAGCTTTCACAATCCCATATTCTCATCATTAATGTTGATTGGTAGAGAATTTAATTTAATGTATGGTCTGCAAAGGGAGGTTATTGGTCTCTAATGACGAGAATATGGGATTGTTTAAGCAACGGTTAGATGTGAATAATCATCGTACCGTTGCTAAAGGAATACGAGCCCTAAGTGGGTATTGCCTCAATACAATACAATATATAGACAAAAAGTAACACTTTATCTTTCAAAAGTATGAATATGAATATTTTGAAAATGTTTGTTTTGCAGACGGAGACTGATATCCCAGTATTAATGACGTCTGTTATGATTTTAACGTTACTTCTTCCCGTCGTACCAGTTTCTATAGTAAAATATCTTCAAGAAATACTAGACATCTTGACACGACTAGCTTCCTTTTGTGTACGAAAACCTGGTACGCATTAACTTCTTAATATTTACTGGATTTTAGGGGCCTTTCCTTTCATAATCTTTTAAATGAAGGAAATAACAACTTTATGGCTTACATGATTGTAGCTCAGTCGGTTAAAATGTTGAAATCGCTTCTCCCTTTCCTTGGTTTCCTCCCAAAAATTTCAAAAAATCTGGTGACCGTGTTCTGATGCCTAAAGGATTGTCCAAAGACCATCCAGTATAAAGGATCCTTGTGAACCTTTAAATTTATGGTCCTCAACATTTGCGATAGAATCTACATTTTTGACTAGATTTTCACCAAACTTTGTGTATGTGTTTTAATGTCTTGTATTTCAGCTAACACACCTGACGTCTATCTACTCCATTTACATGTTTCACTATACAGTTTATTTCACCGACTGTATGGAATGTACCCTTTCACCTTTCTCCAGTACATACATCATCAGTTTAATAAGAAGGAATTGGTGCCTGTCTTTGAGGAAATTGTTTACGTAAGTATTGATTTGATCCTAATATACAATGAAGCTGTATTGAAGATGGATTGGAAATAAAAAGCAAACAGGAGGCTACATCTACCTCCTTGGTCTACTCAGTTTTGGTCTCTCAAGAGGCTAGTCTACCTCCTTTACCAGTTTTGGTCTCTCAAGAGGCTAGTCTACCTCCTTGACCAGTTTTGGTCTCTCACGAGGCTCTGTCTATCTCCTTGACCAGTTTTGGTCTCTCAAGAGGCTTGTCTACCTCCTTGACCAGTTTTGGTCTCTCAAGAGGCTTGTCTACCTCCTTGACCAGTTTTGGTCTCTCAAGAAGCTTGTCTACTCCTTGTCCAGTTTTGGTCTTTCAGAGGCTCTCGCTACTTTGCAAAACTCAATGAGCTTCCTTGAACAATTTTGGTCTCTTATTTGAAAACATTAACAATTTCAGATAAAATTTCATGACCAAAGTGGATAATTTTAGACATAGATCTAAATATTGATAAATTTTGTATTTCCAGCCAATGTTAGAGAGAGTAAGACTACATCCTCAGTTAATATCTGGCTCTAGAGAAGATGAGACTAGCACGTCTAGGTAACTTTACACTTCTGAGTTTATCGCTGTGTTTATAAATTACATATTAAAAGAAAGGTGGTTATTGTAGTCAAGGTATAGAACAAAGCTTGACATTGTGCAGATGTATGGAAACCTGCTGCCTAAGCAACTTAGAATTCTCATATCTAGATAATTTCTTCAATTCTGATTGGTTGTTGATTTTCTTTGGATAGCAGAAGACAAGCGCTTGTCAATTAATTTTTGTGATATCAAATTTCTGTTTATTATCTTCAGATGGAAACATCTAGAAACTCAAGATATTGTGATAGAATGTGCCAAGTTATCATTAGATATTGTGGAGGGGACGAGAGATGACTATCCCACCCCAGCCTTTATTAAACGTTATCAGACTGTACAGGATGTGGTGAGAAGTCGACATAATTCAGATAACAGTCAGGGTAAGATTTATCTTTTTAAGCTCAATGAGTTTGAGACTTGCTCCTTGATCTTGAGATTTGGGGTTTAATAGAAGCTAGGATCAAACTTTTCAATTCATTTTTTTTTTCGCCGGATTTCGTCTCCATTGTAATCTAACAAGTTTTTTACTGCAGTATTGTTCTAATTTTGTTTTCAACCAATCAAATGGTGTCATGTAGAACCCATTTCTTGCAAGCATGAAACAGCCTCTTTGGATTTCACTATTTGTCATTCAACAAACAGGTTCAACATGATACCATTTGATCAGAGTTTTATATCATTCCAATAATGATTGGATTATTCCAAATTTTCATCATTGCACACTGCACTACTTCCTAAGGTATTGGAGGTGCAAGTACTATTAGATGTTTACCCATGTTATTTCTAATTGTAGATATGAATATGATGTTTTCTGGTGGAATATTTGAATCTAGTCATTATATATTAGCCTCACTGGGGAGCGATCCCAATGTGGTCTGTAGTCCTTCAGTTGTAATAGGGTTATCTACCCCTCCTCATTCTCAGTGTACCACTCCAGCTACTAATGTTATAGATACCTGTCGACAGGTCCCCTCTACTTCAGGTAAGTTGATGCTATGAGGGGGTCGGGCATATTCTTGGGGGGAGGAGGGAGGGGTTTCGTTCCAGCTACTTTGCACGAGATATCTTCTTCAAAGGGCTGGAACGGCTCACTTTACTAATTTAATTAAAGCTGTCCTAGCAAAATTTTCCTCATTGCAAACTGCATGGCATTACCTGTCTTCATTAGCCCATTAGGTGCAGAAAAGTAGGTCAGAAAATTCCATTCATATTCATTTTGTGACCTAACTACTTTCTTATGGTTTTTTAAGTCTTTGAGAATTTCCATTTTAACATATTAACTTTAACATTCATGAACATTGCTTTAACCCTGTGCCAGTGCTTTCTGTTGGATAGTAACTTGTTACCTTTCAACCACCCTAATCCTACCCTAATGTATTTCAGGAACATTAGGAAACACCCCGATGTTAACACCATCAGAGATTACCCCGAGGGAAACTCCTAATATAACAGACGAACAGGTAACTTATAGTGTATAACTGTGAATATAGTGCTCACCATTTCTTACACTCGGGTAAATACAGAAAAAGTCATTTACCCTTTATAATGAGTCTAGTTTGGCGATTCCCTTTTGGGTGAAAAACTGCAGTATTTTTCACTGAGACAGGCGGTTAGATGTGATGATCTTTCTTAAAACAGTTAGCTCAGTAACAAGATATATTTTATCAAAATGTCACTTCAATGCAGTTAGACACTGAAATTTGGACTTTTTCGCAATTTTCTTGTCTTATTCTTTACAGTCCCGTGCATCTAGTCGAACTTCAGCTTTCCAGAAATCCTCAGATACCAAACGGCTTAGCTCTGGCTTCCAACCTAAGAGCTCTTCAATTGACTCCAAGTTGACTCCTGGGGCCATGGTTACACCTTCTCCATTGAAGACAGAATTCACTCAAGAGCCGCCCAAAGGTGCAGTGAAGACTCAACCAAGGAATGCCATACGCGTTCTGGAATTTGACAACTCTCCTGAAAAAGAGGAAGTTATGCCCTACAAGCGCCCTCTGTCTAACCAGAATTCCATTGAAGAGGCTAAAGCTGTTACTATGGATATATTGGATGGATTTGTCGATGAATTGCCTACTCATGAAAATGGTGAGTTAAGCTTTTCCCTCCAGATTATGTATTAAACCACTTTTCACTTGAAATTGATGCAGATTGGAGAGGCAGACATGAAAAAAGTGGATAGTTTTTTTGGCTTTGAAAATAAACAGACGCACCAAGTTCTTCACGCTGTGTATTTTAAAAATCCTCTTACATTTGCAAATTGGCTGATGCTATCCCGGCAAACTTCCCCTAATTGTATTGGGTCATCCGTCCTCTTTTGGCAAATCAGTTGCACATAAATACGATGTAAAACATCAATATTGTGTCTTTTCTATTTCCAGAATGTATAGACCATGAAGTCAGTCAGATAACGCAAGAAGACGACCTAGAAGGAAGTTTTGAGACAATCCCTAGCCCAGAGATTACCCGTGCTATGGCGGAAAGCGTCAAACAGTTCATGAAAAAAGTGAATCGAATTCGCTTCAACAGTTTAAACGCTACGTCAGAACGGAATGAAAAGAGGAATCACGTACGATCCAATTCTTGTCCTCCTTTTGAAGAAGAGAACCAATCAGATGAAGAAGATGTTCGTGATTTTGCAAGTCGTTCTATTTCTACGTCAGTTGAAGAACATGTTCCCATAGCGTCCAACTCTGCAACTGCAGTATCGACAATCGACAAACAAGTAACGATGATAACCAGAGTCAAGCTAGAAAAGAAAAAGGTTCGTCAACTGAGTGGAAACAGCGACATCGTAGAATTATTCGAACCCAGCAACCTAGGTCCACCCTTCAGTTTGATATCTCAAGCTCTACTTGCGCCATCTGATGTGACCGTCTGCTCGTCTTGTCATTCGAAAATTCTACACAGAAATAATTCAGAGGCCGCTCAAGGTAGGTCGACTGACATTTTGGTTTTGAATTTGACCTTTGACCTTTTTCAATTTATTTATGAATTTTTTATGACAACAAAATTTGCAACTAATCAGAATTTGGATAACAGCCATTTGTCCATTTTCTCAAGTGTGATAAAGAAAATTCATAGTGTTAACAAGACATATTTAGGGTAGTGACTCATGATGGATTGAAACAGTGAATGGATTTACTGGTACTCTTACAAGTATATGGTAGTAGCTTATCCTTCTGATAACATTTATTTCAGAAACACCAATGTTTTCAACGTTATCTCCCCCAGAAATACTAGACAGGCATCTGAGAATTGGTGGAGAAGTTCATGCTAAAGAATTAAACAGAATTCCTTTGACCAGTAAAGAATCTGTCAACTGGACACATTTTGGAGGTAAACAATTTGGTTTTTTTTCTGTCGAGTAGATCACAGTTTCTGTAATGGCTCTCATGGTTTTTTGAAAAACTATGACCTTTGCAGCAAAACATTTGTGACCTACTAAATATTACACACCAAAAGTGACTTTAAATAAAGAATTCATGAACAAATACAAAGACCAGATTGAAGGCTGACACCAGGTTGTTGCTTAGAATAACTGACCAGAGCATCAGAAGTTTTCTTACCTTGAAGAAGATTCCAACCCATGGTACCTAGTCTCCAAGAGGTTTTAAGATAAACTTGGTGTACTTACGATATTTTCTAGGGGTTCCACCTGCAGATGAGGTGAATATTTTAAAAGGACAGAATATTCTACTCCATAATCAAGTCATGTACGAACGTCACAAACGAGACTTACATGCCAAACGAAATCGTCGTCTGCTACGAAAAATAACTCAGACTAAAACCTTGGAGGAACAAAACAAAGCTATGGTAAGATTTTTGATTGGGGAAAGTGATTTCTGAATCTGATTCGGGAGGAAAGATCAGGTTGTGTGATCTAGGCAGAAAACAGAACAGTTAGAATACAAAAAAGAAAGGGACTGTGCCACTGTCCTGTCAGAATTTCCCTCATAACACACTGCATGGCATTGCCGGTCTCCATTAGCCAGATCAGCTGCAGAAAAGAAAAACTCCATATTCTTTTTTAGGCAGATCAAAGAAGAATTCACGAACAAGAAATCCAGAATTTAACAGTATCATTACGTTTGGTCCAGGAGGAAAACCAGAAATTAAAACAGGAGAAAGAGAGCAACGAATACAAGGATCTTGTCATGTTGAGGTAAGGGGCTATGTGGGATTCTTGTCTTGTTTGGGTGGGGTGATTTTCCACATGACATCTCATTGCAGAAAATGTTAATTTAGTATGTGGGTTTGTTAACTAAGTCTTCCTTTAGAGAGTTCACACAGTTGATAATAGAAAATTTGTATTTTTGATTCCAGATCAACACTACAAACTAATAAAGATTTAGAAGAGGCGAATATTGGACTCAAAAATCTGTTAATAACTCAGAGAGAGGACCATGATAAACTTAAAATGGTACGTGAACAATTCTAGATATTTTATAAATTCCGTATATTCTGCTTAAGCAGGTATAATGAGCACACCTTTCTTACCTTCCGGTGAATCTGGAAAAAAATAATACACATCCCGTCCTGACTGGAGAAATATCTGGAAAAAATCTCTTGTCACCAAAAGATTGGGTCCTGGAGAAAAAAAATTACAAGTTGGCTTGTTAACAGTTTGTGTGTAGATTTTGCTCTCAATATTTTATTTTTTTCTCAATTTTATTTCAGTCATGGCAAGAAACGAAATCCGAATTATTAAACACCCAGAAAGAACTCGATATTTTAAAGAATCAGAGTATTTTTAATCACAAGTTAAAGGAACAGGTAGGTCAGCTATTTTGTTTTTCCTTACATTTTGATTTGGTCTCTTTCTTCAATTTTGTGTTTTCCACAGTTTGTAAAATAAAGAACAGGCTAATACTTCTGGCTTGGCAAAATTGTCCACAATACACAGTGCATTAGCCCAAACGAGGTTCAGAAAAGTAGGATGTAAAACGCCATTTCGTTCTATTTTATTTGACAGGTTTTCAAGCTACAGAAGGAAGTATTATTAATGGGAGAACTTCAACAGAAATATCACGAGAAACTTCATAATCAACGCAACTCCATGTCAGTCAAACCAGACGTTAATTATTTAGCCCAGTCTCTTAAAGCTGAAACTAGAAGTAAGTATATGTTTTATTAGAGGGAGTGAGAGATTGGTACGGGGGGTGCTGACACTAGAAGTAGGTGTATCTTTGATGGGTGGGGATGTTGGGGTGGGAGGTCTGACTCCATTTCCATTGTACCAGATGTGAACTATTTAGCCCAGTCTTTATAAAGCTAGTGAGGGAGGGGCTGAAACTAGGAGTAAGTATATTTTTGGTAGGTGGGTAGGGGGAATTGGTAGGAAGGAAAATGTGTATTAATTTTAAAGGGGAAATTTGTTTGTTTCTATTTTAGTTTTAAAAGAGAAGTTGAATTCTGCGACAGGAAAATTAGAAATTTCTACAGCCCGAGTTTTAGAATTAGAAGAACAACTACAAAATAAGGTATTGAGTTTTTTTTATTTTCAGTATAGTATTTACATTATCCCGGTATTCGTTAAATTTATCATTGAGGTCAAAGGTCAATACTTAAATTCAACTGTTGATACTTACTCAATTCATTCATTCATTCATTGATCCCTTCATCTATCCATTCATCCCTTCATCTATCCATTCATCCCTTCATCTATCCATCCATCCATTCATCCCATCCATCCATCCATCCATTCATCCCTTCATCTATCCCTTCATCTCCATTCATCTATCCATTCATCCCTTCATCTATTCATTCATTCATCTATCTATTCTAGGAGCAAGGAGTTAGTGAAATAAAACGAAATCTAGAACAGACTAAAGTAAGCCATGCTGACGAGGTCCTAGCTATAAATGATAAATATAACGCCATGGTTCATATTAACCAACAGTTAGAATCAGAGTTATTAACCCTACAGTGTCGAGTTGATCAACTTACCTTAAAATGTCAGCTTCAACAAAAAGGTACGTGAATTGTATTTTTCCATTTTTTAAGGCAAAATGTTTAAAATCTAAAGTCATAAGCTATGCCAAGTGTAAGACTTAAAATTCCATTATTTTAAAAATTTTCAAATTCGTTATAATGCAATTGAATTTGAATTCATTTCAGGTGTAACTCCAGTGATATCATGTCCAAGTAAAACAGAATCTGATTGGTCAGAGGGAAATCATTCACACCAATCAAACGACAGTATTAAAACAGTGACCGATCAGAATGAAGGAAATAGCGAACAACCTCAAGTTCGCGTAGCTCGTTCTGTAAGTGATGCAGTATTGCAGGAAGAACAAGCTCGTCTGCAGAATTCTCAAGCTTTGGATTCGTTATCATTTTCTTCCCAAGATGGCGCTAGTGTGTCGAGGGGTGGATCGCGATCAAGTATTTTATGGAATACTGACAGTGAAGATAACCGTAGCAACACAACAACGGACAGTGGCTGGTGGGAAAAATCTACCGTCAGCAAATAGGTGTTTCGCTTCTTTTTGGAGATGAAGCTTTGTTCCTACTGTGCAGTATTAAAGTCTAAGAACTGGGTTTTCAAACTAGCAAGGTGTTCCAAGGACCTAATTTTAAAAAACCTGGCATCCATCGTCTGCAATATTTAGTTTAAAAGCTTGATTTTCGGGACATTACTTTCATAAACTTAAGATTTAACAACTGCAGTCAAAACTCATTTGCTATGTCTCTAAACCTTGGTTTCATGATAAACATCCTTCAAAAATATCATACCAATTTGATTTAATATTAGCAGTTTGCCTTCCTATATTGTGATGTATAAAAACCCCTTGTATAGGTGCTTGTGTGTGGCATGCAACTTGTGAATGGAAATAACCTTGGGCCACAAACCTTTTTTCAGGCTTTGCTGAAATTTAACTCAAATATAGAGAAGCTATTACAGATGTAGAACTGATTGTATCAAAGAAAAAATACACCAATCTATTTCTTAAGGTACAATGTTTCTGGCATTATCACATTAATCTTCAAATTTTACATTCTCTTGATGTGAGGGGTATTATAAATTTGAGTAAAAACTAAGCTGGGAATGAGAGATGTTTTGTGGCCCTGGGGTTAGATTGTTCAATTACCTTTATTCTGCCAAAAATTGTAATGATTATATTTAAACGTGATTTGCTTTCTCTATAGTTGTGATGTATGTATATATATATATTGGTGTATTTATATCTAATATGATATGATAAAAACTCATAACACAAATTTCCATAACCTTTCGACCATCACAGCCTTTATCATTGGAACTGGATGGTGGAAAGTTATGGAAATTTGTGATAGAGTTTTTATTATACAATCAATCAGAGACTTTATATTTATAATATACAACCTTAATTTATCTGAGGATCTTAGCTTCAAATCATACCTTCTTCAAAAGTTTCCCTTTCAGAAATTATTAGGCTAGAAACTAGTTACTGTTCTTTTTGGCTTTCATATCTTGAAGCACTGGAACGGACCCCTTTCTGAAAAAATCATACAATTGAAATGGGGGTGTATATTGACGTCACCCATGTCCGTCTGTCCATAACTACTTGTAAACATTTAGAGGCACGATTCTTGCAAAATTTTGACAGAACTTGGTAATATTATTCAGCATCGCCCCAAAAAGTTCAGAAGAAGTGTATGACTGAAGGTTGAATATTTCATACTGGTGATTGTTACTGTACTGCTAAATATTTCTGTTTAAAATCAAAGCTGCCAGTTGCAAACTATCTTACAACTTTTGATTGTGAAATTGGGCCAAGATTATGAACTTTTCCTCTATTAAAACTGAAACTGTTATTAAAACATCTATATCCTGGTCTCAGGTCTATTCTACTAGTCAACTGAAATATAAAATGGCACCCAGTAATTGATATATCTTGTTCATATACTACCATTAAATATCCAATCTTTTCTTTTTCTGTTGAAAATGTCATTATTATTCTGTGATTATTATGTATAGTGCTATATATTGTTTTAAAAAGCCAAAAAATTGATGTGAAATATCAAATATATATTTTTGCTTGGTCCAGTGTTGAAGCCGTTGTGTTGATGAGATTCTGTAGGTGTTTAAAGGGACAGGTTGGCCATCCGTTTGACCAATCATAACTTAGTCTCAGAAACGGAATTTTGTACGATTTTCGTATATATCTAGTACTTCTGAAAACTATTTGCATATAGGCAAACTAAAATCAACTCCTGAAAATGGTGAATCTGTCCCTCTAAAGTAAAGATGTTTTTGTAAGAATTTTTAAAGGTATGGGTTATTGAAAGAATGAATATTGGAGATATAGTGATGATATAAAACTTTGTGATAATTTAAATGATTTGAGTTTTTTTTCTTTGAAAATTTAGTATGACTTAATTCACTAACTTAGAATTGTCATAAAATGTGAATTGTGTCTATTAGCGGCAAGAGCGCATGATAGTTGAATGGAGAACTTCTGATTCATCTGTTTTGACCCTTTGGGTTTTTTTCAAGTTCCTCACTGTGATAATATCAATAAGAATTGCCATACAGTGTGCAATGAGGGAAATTTTATCAAGATGAGAGCATTAACCTACTCTTTTCCCACTTCTAGCTATCGAGGGTTCTTGAAAATGCAAGCAATCAACTTGTTGAGCCACTGTGACTTCAGCCATACAGTGTGCAATGAGGGAAATTTTGCCAGGACACTAGTTTACTCTTTAACAGCATAGTGTCAATGGGTCTCTAGTCAGTCGGTAAGCGCTGGAAATTTCGTCAAGTGTCTTAGCTCTGTTTTATTTGTTATCAAAGAACTCACTATGTGAAAGGGGTCCTTTTCACATTTATCTGAATAAAAGTTAAAAAAACAACCCAAAATTATTTTTAAAAATGTCTATTCATTCTTGGCTTCTACAGTTTTTTCAGACTCTGCTTTTTCTTTGGCATGAGCTCGTTCTGCCCTCCACTTAGAGAAATTCGAAATCTTCGCTTTTTCAATTTCTTCATCCACTATACCAAATTCATCATCTAGATGTTTGTAGTTAAAATATCGGAAAGGAACATTTCCTTCCATATATCCTGGAAATATCACAAAAATATTATTAGCTATGTGGACTCTCTGAAGAGATGTTGATTTGACAAATATAAATATTCAAATACCATGATGTAGAAAGAGGCCATTAAGTAGTTTTCTTCCGAAAAGACAGTAAAAAGATTCATATTGAAATCCGAAACTTTACTGTGGTCTGGAATTTATAAAACAATATAAGAGTTGTTTCCCTTTGATCAGAGATACAAATAAGATTTTCAAAGAGCTTTTAGTGGCTGAATATGTTTAAAAGCTTGAAATTGAAACTTTAAAATTTGTAATAGAACATTAGATGCTACAAAAATTTTGAAATCACAAACTTATTTTTAAAACACACCATATTCCATAGCTTTGAATTTTTCAAATTGAAGTTTTTTCTGCTGTTTTTGGCAGACGCCTGTTCTCTTGGTCTCATACAGTTCTCCTGTTTCAGGGTTCGTAAAATGTTCAATTAATTTCACATTCTGAAATATGATAAAATATTCATAAAGTCAAACTTAAGGAATGTTCTCAAATATCAATGGCTGTGGTAAATTACCCCATGTATTTTTCAACCAATTTAAACTTTATTCAACAGTAACCTGTTCAATTGATCAGAATGTCATACATGAAAATCTGAAAATCATGCTATTTGTTAAAAAAAAAATTCTAAAAATGTACATAAAAAGCTGGAAACAATTCTAACTAAACTTAATTAGGCTTGACAGTATTAAGAGTACTATGAAAATGTTACGTTGTCTAAAATAACTTACTTACCCTATAATCTACAACTAAATATTCGTCTCGACAAACTGGACACGGTGAACCTGTCGCCGTATACTCTCCTCTCTTAAAGATAAAAAAACTTCATTTTGACAATCTGATATTCCATTATAAGGGATATGAAGTGCTATTTGGAATGGTTTATTCCAATCGACCTTTCCCACTTCGCCCCCAATCTTTACACTTTTTACCCCTTCTTTATTTTGCCCCTGTTTTATTTCACCCCTTCTCAATTCAGTTGGTTAGCATTATAAAAGACAATAGTATATTTATTGAAACTTACTACACAAGTTGCTCTAGTTGTTAAAGGAGCAGGTCCTTTATAGTTTCTTCTGTAATGGGTCCAAATCATATCATTCTTATAACATCTTTTAAATGCTGAAATTCACCAAATATCCATGTTTTACTGATACCAGATAACAACTTAAGTTTACGAGGATTAGTGACGTAGCCAGGATTTCATTGACAGGGGACCATCCGATCACCTCGACTCACCTTTTAGATTTGCATCAGGAGGTTAGTCAGCCCCTAGACAATTTTCTAATCTAGGAAGGCGGAGAATGCATCTAACACGATTTAGGCAGTGAAAGTAGAATAAATTTTTCATTTTTTTCTGTCCCGAGGGCGCCGCAGGGATGTATTTCTACATTTGATTGGCTGTAACCGGAGATCATGGTCGAGGTCATGAAGTTTTCGGGCGATTGACGTCTGTTTAGGCGTAACGTTAGACTAAGAGGGGGGGGGATTGTATAATTACCTTCGCTGCTCATATATCTAATACTCTCATCAACGTTAACTTTCAGACGTTTCTTTTTCTTTGTTCGGGCTTCACTTTCACCATGTTCATCATGTTCTTCAGTTTGTAATCTTCGTACCGTCAGACTGAGTTGACGTATCTGGTACATTAATCTTCTTTCTTGAATTAATTGCTTAAACAACGAGAAAAAAATTTCCAACCAATGGTTAAAATGAATGCATATAGGATAGGCTTTCTACATTAACATTTTTGATTTTTACATCTATCTGGAGCATATTAATTTTTGTATAAATTTACAACAATTTTCATGTAAATCTATGTCTGTTTTCATTAATACAGCATTAGGAAAAAAATTTAAAAGCTTTAAGACAACTCAGTTTATTATTCATTACTAGAGACTCAGAAAAATTGAAAGTCCTTGACTGTTTGAGATCCACTTTCTAGCTGAACAGAATATATCGCTAGACACTTACAGTAGGATGCCATGTTGGTCTTCTCAGAATATGTGTCACTATCCTTCTCAATGGATTTAGATTCATTTTCTTGTACAATTTGTGTAGTTTTCCAACTTTTCAACCTTCCATGTTTTTTTCTCAGAGTTATCTTCCCTTACTTGGACCATTCCTATTTTTGGAAATAGGGATATCAGGATTTTCCATTTATATTGAGTTTTTCGCGTGGAGAGGCCAAGTCATTGCCAAAATTGATTTTCCTTGTACAATTTTAGCCGATTGCTTTCGTTTCCAACCATGAATGGACCCACAATGTTAAAAAATGCTTTAAGTACAGAAATGTAATGGACCCATCCAAAAGCAGTCTAGATCAGTCAAGTATCAATTGTCGAGATTATACCAGACGTAAAATTGAATGAAATTATTTTGGCGTCTTGCCAGAATTCTGACCTCATAAATATTCATTATCTCCCTGGTTACATTAATCGAAAGGAAATGAGAAGTTTGTAAAGAGCGAAATTTAGATTTTGTTGTAAGAAAAGAGGTGAAAACTGTTCAATTAACTTCATTTCGTAATATTTTGTATAGAAAAGTGTCAGAACAGTTTGTATGTTGCAAATTTTCAATTTTCCAATATTTCACTTTGCACAGAATGGTGACATTTCCATTTTCTCCTTTCGTTTTTCCGGGGCTCGTCTATGACGTCAAGGACAAAGCATGTTGATGACTCTACAGTCTCGCGCTAGATACCGTACGGAGAGCTTGGGTGCATATTTTGACTTGAATTTTCTAAAAATTTTGCGACTGACCCTCGACTCTTGTGGAAAAATATCAAACTACATTGAATAAGGATTCTCAAAATTAGTCTGATAATTGAAGAGGGGTGATTGGAACCAAAACGATCGAGATATTTGTCAGATGTTGAAGCAGATTTTACACTATAAACATCAAAGATTTGCTTGTTGTGGGCGTCGATAAGCCCCTATTTCTCAAATTTGCATCATAACAACTGTAACATTAGTTGCATCTTGAAGTAGAATTAAAAATTTACAAGATCTAGAAGAATAAATCGACATCGCAAAGATAAATCTCACGTGTAAGTGAAACGTTGACTGAAAAATCGCCATTTTCGGGCGTTGTCTTGTCGCATTTGAAACAGAAATGTGACTTCATTTTTCATTCTTTCTGCTCAATTCTTTCATATTTCTATAATTTGTGTTTCTATCTTTTTAGCAAAGCACAGTTTAACCAAAAACTCTCGTATTTGAGGGAGAAAGTGGATGTATAAAATTCTAGAAGGTAGGCCATAGGCATGCGGACGACAAAATGGCGTCCGTTTTATTTCGAAGCAAGTTATGTTGAATAATTTAAAATGATTTTCTGTAGTGAAACTAATCTTTCAGCAATCAATTGTGTATATAAATCATTTATGTGTTTTATGAATCATTTATTTGCATGATTTCACGACCATTTGTTCAGTTTTCATCACCATGTTGATATTTCATGACCTACTTTTGAAACGACAACCTGACCTTTGAACCCAAATAGTGTGCTATAATTAGCGTCGGTTCCGGTTGATTGAAGTGGGTGTGTTTATGGGCGTTCCCTGTTTGATTAATTAGGTTGTTTTATGTTAATTTATTCCACAATATAAGGTGCTCACATGAAATTTGAAAGCAAAATTTACAACTCATTTTCTAAAATTTGAAATTTAAGTTTCATATAGTCTCTCTTACATTTAAATCTAATAACTTATAATTAGTTAGGCTGCAACTCTTTTGTGCCTAATGCATTACTAAGAATATCTCCTCAAACAGGAATGCTATTATTTGTCAACTTATAAATTATAAAGCACAAACATATTTCTCTCTGAGGAACTTGACTTCACACAAATACATTTGAAAATTATACTGAAATACTAACAAAAAGCTGATATTTAGATTAAAAGATAAATTAAATAGAAATAAACTTGTGAGGACAATAATTTAATACCTGATGCAATTTTACTTTTGGGACCCTATTCATGGTACTAATAATTAGATAATAATGAATTAATTGCTAGAGAAAAATTCTATATGTCAGTGACCTTGGTGCTTTTATTTCCCCACATGATTAGGTTCTTTTTCCAAAAAGGAACTTTCTAATCTTGTACATGTAATGTCATATTTAGGAAAGGGGGGGAGGGGGGTTGAGTTGGCGGAACAAGTTCGAAAACAGGTTCTACATGACACGCTTTGATTGCTTGAAAATAAGAACATTGGGAGTAAAGTAATGTAGACTAAAATTATCAGATTGATAAATAAATGTACTGTGGTTCTAAGTCAAAATGGTTTTGTATCGGGTGGCGAAATTTAAACATTGAAATTAACCTTTTTAATGGGATTGTAAAGAGGTTTTCTGAAATTTTTTATGTGTATCAGGGACACTGATAGGATCAATTTACATCATTCTGTTTAATAGGACAGAGTTACCCATACTCATGGTTTATTCACGAATTTCGCCTTGTGCTGTGTTTAACTGATTTTATACAATAAATTGGCCACAGTGCGACCAAAGACATGGCTACCTCCAAGCTGAAAATTTGAATTTGCAGCCAGATAAAGAAGAAGACCTATCAGAGACCAATATGAAAATGATGTACTTCTCTTTTTATTGGTGAAGCGTATATATTCATGATGAATTTAGCCATGGCACATATTACATGTCCCTGAAACAAAAGTGGATTGTTTCTGACATTTCACAGATTTGGAGACGTCTGCTGATCCTGCTGATCTGGGAAATGTAACTTTGATATTTTTTCATGATGTTGTATCTTTCATGAAGGTAACTTTTCATTTACATGTTTAGCCATTTTGCAGCATTGTGCAGGCGCGAATATTGGGCTATGATATTCATTGATCCCTACTGAAAAAGGTAGGAAAATATCGCCTGCAAAGCAGACCATGTTTATTCTTTTCGAAACACCTGATGGTACTCCTCTTTAGAGGAATCCACTGCTATACAACTCTTGATTTTGATCTTGTTTGTACAGAGTTTTATAATGAGCTAGTTCTTTGGTCATGACAAAGTTTTTATTTCTTGCACATTGATGTTTTGGTGAAAGTGTCGGAAGAGAAAACAAAAGGAAACATCCAATCTTGCATTTTGATGACAAAGAAAGAAAAAATAGATTAATTATGAATTTGAAGCAACAAAAGTAACAAATTCATTGATAGCTTTCTTGTCTTCCTAAAGAGATTGTAAAGAGGTTTTCTTAATTTTTAATGTGTAATTAGGACACTGATAGCATCAATTTACACCATTCTAATTTTCATTCAGACATTCCTGCCATTCCATTTATACTTAGGGTTTGATGACGTCACTAATTGCAAAATATGCTTTATTACATAAGGCCCTTTGCGATTAGTGACGTCATCAAACACTTAGTTTTAGTGGAATTGCAGCAACCAGATGTCTGATTGTGAATTGGAATGGAGCAAATTGATGCTATCAGTAAGCTTTTTTCTGATGCACATAAAAAATTTAGAAAACCTCTTCACAATCCCCTATAACAGATTAAAAAGTGACCTACTTCTGTCTAGGAAAAAAATGTTTTTTCAGACACAAGTCAAAGTCTGACAATCTATTAGTTTGAAATCCTACTTACACAACAAAGTGAGGCAAATGTGTCTTTGCTATAAGATGGTTCAGGAATTTTTGTTTTGAAAAGAACTAAAATCATAATTAGAAAATCATCTTAAATAAAAAAATGCCTTTACGAATACTACGTCTTAGAATGAACATAAAATTTAAGATTTTTAAACTTGGTCATTAAGTGTATATATTTATCAGTAGATATACCTGGTGTCATAAATAACATAACAGAATCCTTATATAATTCAATAAATCCAAAAAACTTAGTAATTATCTATAAATATACAATTAACTAGTGAAAAACGCTTAATATCAAGATTAAGCGTTTTTCAATAATTACTTAATAGTTTTATGAATTTTCCAGATTTTACAGGGATTCTGTTGTAACTTTATGACACCAGGTAAGTTTACTGATGAATATATACTCATATTGACCATTCTTGAGAACTTAAATTTTATGTTCATTCTAAGACGTAGTATCACTTTAATCTTAATCTTAGGCTTAAATCACTTAAAAAAAATTCATTACTGCACCTTGTAATGTGTAGTTTATTACATCATTGTTAGTTATAACAGGTCTGTCAAAGGTTTGTTTATTTATCTCTTTATTTGGGCATCAAGTTGACCTATCCCAATTCTCAGACACCTGTGGTTCTTGCTATTCCACCAATGTTTCATGACGTAACTATCTCTACAGCCCTTAGTTACATTAGCAGCTTTTGTGATAGTGCCGTCCAAACTAATGTTATATTTCTCAATGTAAAGCTCCAAGATAATTTTTCATAAACTGTTTGGAGAGTGATTGAAAAGACTTCATAATTTTTTTACCGATTTTTCAAAAATTTAAAAATTTGAAATCCTCAAGGTACTTAGGTTTCTTTTTCAGCTTTATATCTTATTTTAACTTGCTTCGAAATAATGCCTAGGTTTATTTTGTATAATCATCTTTGGTTTTAACTTTGACTGTGCTTTGTTTTTCAGGAAATAAGGAACCAGAATTGAGCAGAATAGAATGAAATTTTTGTATTTTTTTCAGATTTTATCAGTTGAAATAAAGTGGCGTTAAATTTTGTAATTATAGCACGCACTAAGGAAATTTTGGGTCTATAAGCCACTCGAAAAAATGAAAAATTATAAAGTGGTTGAAAAAATTGATTATAGCACGCACTAGGGACTGTTTGAAATTTTACCAACCACTGGCAATTTCTTGAGACTCAACTTAAAAAACAAAATGTCAAATTTGAAAAAATGATGTTGGAAGTTGAGTTAAAACACTATATATAAATACATTACATACAAAATCATTGTTCTATAAAATTGGGAGCCAAATTATCGTTGTTTTTCTGCCTTTTTGTACGTTTTTCACAGAAAATTGGTTATAATATCCACGATTTGCATCAATTAGTTATCTTGATGGTGCTGTTTTCAACAAGTTCTAAATGCCTGCATCCTTTTGCAAATGGTGACCTATTTGCAATGGAGATTTCAAATGATTTTGGCACTCTTATGAATTTTCATTTGGTATATATGCCTGTTCTGTCTAGCTTGATCAAGAAAATTAATATATTGATAGAAATTGATGTTTTGATCATAATTAACTAACTCAAAATACAAAATTAACTTATATTGACACTGTATAATATAGAATCAAATTTTCCTTTTGCTTGTTCCTCCTTTCATATCAAATCCTCTGTTGATAATGGTTGCTTTCTTTCTTTACAAAATTCAGGATTTCTTAAATCTGCCAGATATGTCCAATGGATGTTCCTTGATTTAAAATAAAAGAAAAGAACTAAACTTTTTTTAAATAAAAAATCTAATAAAATCATGATAAGAAATCTGGACATATGATGTATTTTAATTTTCATTAATCAAAATAATTGTATTTCGAATCAAAAAAATATTTGTTCAAATATCAAGAATAACAGAAAAGTATCTGAAAAAATGAGATTTGGTGAAATATTTTGTCAAAAAAACAAGGTGTTCCTGAAGAGTAAGCATTCCCTGCACTGCTTTGACCAAGTTTCTAACACTTAAAATCACTCCCTCAGCATTTCTTGCAAATTGAGTGTTTGGGACTTCACACACTTTGTACGCTGTGTTGTAAGGTCAGTTTGAATAGTAGTTTCCCTCATTGCACACTTCATTGTGTCATTGGTCTACATTATGAGCCCAATAAAGTGCTTTAAAGTAAGATGTTTAAATCCATCTTTTTAAAACGGGTGCCTAATTAGAACTGATAATCGGCAAATAAGGACAAAATTTTGCTCGTGAAATTTGCAGTGTTCTGGTGATATTGGATTCAAATAGAAGTAATTGGTATTGATTTTGACTATATTGAAATGAATATTATCAAGTCAAACTGATGGAATTTAAGGACATATTGATAGGCAGATTCTAGTAGTAGAAGTTGAAAGTAAAATAAGGTTAATGCTTCTATCCCAGCTATATTCCCTCTATTGCACACTATATGGCTTTACAGTCTTCATTAAAGTGGAAAAGAAAGTTTGCTTGCTGTAAACTCCATTTCATTATGTACAGCACCAAGTGTGAGGGATAAATTTTTGACCAATTTTTTCATGTTGCATAGTCGATCATCAAAAATGAAATATTTGTGGCCTTCGATGAAAATGAAATCTGACCTAGTTTTAAAGAGCTTATTAATACAGACAGCACAAGATCGAATTCAAATATAAATCCTCATTGCTAACTTTAATTTTTTAATTCTTAGAACTTTGAAATATATGAGCTAATTTAGTAAACTTTGGCAATGGGGTAATCGTTGTGAAGGCCAATTTCAAGATGTCCAGATTTCCAATTTTTATCAAATTTATTCTCTTAAGTTTAGGTTCGAAATATTTTGATTTGAGTTGCATTCAATGTATTACCGTGGTAAGGCAGGGTGTGCTTAATCTTCTAATTAATCAAAAAAGAGCATGCTAATTCCCCTGTCCTGGCAAAACTCAACTCATGGTCTTGTCCACCTTCATGAACCAAATCAGGTGTGGAAATACAGGATGTAAAACTCCATTCATTTCATTACATTTTGAAACTTGGTAAGCTGGTACCTTTCTACTTTACCTTAAATAAGTTATAAATATCTCAGGCTTTAAGTGATTGTAAAGGGTTTTCTAAATTGTTTATATGTGTATTGGGGACACTGATAACATCAATTTGTATCATTCCAATTTTCTATCAGACGTCTGTGGTTCTTGCAATTTCACTATAAGTAAGTGTTTTATGGCGTCATCAAACACTTAGTTTTAGTGGAATTGAAGGTACCACAGACGTCTGACTGAGTGGAGTGGTGCAAATTGATAATGCCAGTTTCCCCAACACACCTAAAGATTTTAGAAAATCTCTTTACAATCACTTCAAGTCGTTTTTCTGACAGCTATTATATATAATATACAGGATGTGGCTTAGATCCTTTCAGATGTGGCTTAATTCAGAGCATTTTGTGGACAAATTCAGACTTGTCTGGTTGATAAGTAAATAGATGTACTGAAATGAAAAATAGAGTTTTCAAGAAAATTGGTAGACTGATTTTTGATAACCAAAAACTTTCATTTGGCTCACAATTACAAGCTTTATTTCACAAACTGAATGTACTGTAACATAACTGCCAATTTCATTGCTATTGTAACTCTCTGAAAGGGACGCCCAGTTGATAAACCCAGTCTCGGAATGAAATTAGGTGTCTCAAAAGGAGCATAATGATGAGTATACATGGTTCAGATCAGCAAGTTCTAGACTTTATATTCTTCCACAAAATTTGTCGTCTCACAATGTTATGTGTCAAAAATGTAGCAAATTTTTTTAAATCTATATATTTGGAATGAGGTCATGTTTCTATCAAAAGTTTCAATTTTAAACCATTTTCAAGCATTAGCCAGACATACCAGGCAAATACTAAGTAACATCCCTTGTAAGACGCTAAATATAAAAAACGAACTACTTGGTGCATCTGAAAGGATACGTTGCAGTGACATGTTTATGATTGAGTTCGTCAACTCTCCATACCCTTCTGAGAGTCCACAAAGCTCAACTCAGTTGATATTTAGGTTTGTCAACTCACTATCCCTTTCTGAGAGTCCACATAGCTTATAATGGTATTGGGTTTGTTAACTCTGTATCTCTTCAGTGAGTCTGCATAGCTAATAGAGTTATAGAATTTTGTGGTATTGGGTTCATTAGCTTGGCATCTCTTTCTGAGAGTCCACATAGCTAATATAATGTTATTGGGTTGGTCAACTCTGCAGACCTTTCAGAGAGTCCACATAGTTGACAATTATTAATGGTATTCTATTATTCAACCATATTAGACCACCCCACCCCCACCATCATGTATATATGAGCAAGCCCTCGAGCCCTACCCCTGTATTTCATAATTTTTGTTTTATCATTTCAGGATTGGGAAATTGAAAGTAGAATAGTTCTGAGAGAAATGGTGTACAAGATTTAAAATGGTATATATTCCAAAACCTAGTTATTGAAATAAAATACAATTATTAAAACATATATCACACATCCCCTTGGCCTAGTAGAATGAAAAAAAAAACAAAAACAACTATCCATCCAAACTGTGAAACGACAACCAAAATCCAAAACAACAATCTGGCAATACATTGGTAGCAGCTAATGAAATTTTCACTTGAGGAAGTATCAATCAAACCTAGGAACGAAACACAAAATCCAAAATAACAATTTGGCAATAAATTGGTAGCAGCTAATAATCTTTCTATAAGAGGATAGAAAATCAAAATCGCCAAAGTACAAACGATAATAATTACAAACCAAAATCCAAAATAAGAGTTAGGCTATTACCATCCTTTTAGCAGCAGGGAACTTTCCAATATATAGCATCTGAATCAAATGCACTTCTGGATGCTCTGTTTCATGTTTTTTTCCTGGGTGACTCCACTTGGCATCCAAGATATGATGAATTTAGGGTACAAATATGTCTTTTTCTACATTTTTGGGTGATACATAAACCTTATTTAAGATTATTTCTGAAGTAATGAAAGTACAATTAATGCTTTGAACTAAATATGAAGAGTTAAAAACTGATTCATCACCTATTGTTTTCTTTCTACATGCTAAAAAATGACAATATGACTTTATCTGTAGGTTGAAAGGAAAGTGATGAAGTCTAAAAGAATGAATAGAAATAACTTTACCCCCCAAAATAGGGTCACTATCCCAAAAGTTGTAGGCAATAAACTAATGGTAGGTCAGAAAGTCACTAAATCACAAGTGTTAAAATTGCACAATCCAAATTCTAATATCAATTCTTACTGCACATTTTGAACAAAAATGGCACGTTAATGACAGAAACAGAAATCTCAAATTCCTTCAGAGGGACCCATTCCGGATTTTTGCACGATTGTGAACAACACAATGTTAAAACACAAAGCACGCAGTTATTTTTTCTCACAAACAAAAATTAATGTTATACCAGTCTGTAGCCCATTTTAACCAGCTTGTCTGCTAATCTTGAGCAGAACAGTAGAATGTAAAACTCCTATTTCATTTCAAGAGTCTGATACATGTCTCCCTTTCTCCCTTGCCTTAGTTGGCTAATCTGTCTTCATTAGCCCACATGGTGGAGAAAAGTTGGACGTAAAACTCCATTCATTTCATTTCATTTAGTTGGCTTGTGGTACCAGTTGGAAACCCAATACCGAGCATAGGTTTAGACAAAGATGATTAGAGAGCGACAGTACTATCTTTTTAGACAAATACTTAACCGCCACCTGCCTAATTTTAAATTCCTCTACCTGTGTGGCAAATGAATATTAAACTAAGTTTATTCTGTCACAGTTTCTGGTCCCTCTATAATTAAGTATGCTGCTCTTCCATTCTAAAGATATTTTTTCAATGAAATACATTTATTTCAATCAAACCTTTTCTTCAAGTCCACTTTTGCTGGAATTTTTTCAAATATTGATCTTGTAATTTTTTTTTACAGTCACCAATAGATGCCCACCAGCTGCTGGATGCCCTGGCCCCGTTACTGGGACCGGAGGGCTGTATCAAAGGGCCTGTAGAGGCTTCTAGAATAAGTAGGTTAGTGAACTTAAAAAAAATAAATAAAAAATTGATAAAATTTTTTTTTATTTCAGAAATATGTAATGTTTCAAAATGTTTTCAATTTATTCTGTTTAATCTTAATTATGTCAAATTATTTAAGAAAATTAATTAATATTCTTGAAACTTATTGGAGAAGTGTTGGTGTTTTCAGTTTAATGAAGGATGCAGTCAAAATGGTCAGTAAATGTGTCTATCTGAATATTTTACGTAATACCAGTGAAGTTACCACACTTAATAAGTAAGTTATCATTCATTCATTCATTCCTTTATAAGTTCATTCATTCACTCATTCATTCATTCCTTTATAAGTTCATTCATTCACTCATTCATTCATTCAGTTTAAAGCAGTAGGAACACATTCACTAATTTATTAACTTGCTCATTCATTCATCAACTTAATTATTCCACCATTCATTTATTCATTCACTCATTCATTCATTTATTCATTCATTCATTCACTCATACCATTAACTCGCTCACTCATTCATTCATTTATTCATTTATTCATTCACTCATTCATTCACTCATTCATTTATTCATTCATTCATTCATTTATTCACTCATTCTTTTATTCACACATCCATTCATTTATTCATTCTCTCTATCTTCCAGGTTTATAGCAGTAGGAGGGTGGGACACTCTCAACCAATGGTTACAGGACAGTAAAGAACCAGAATTTACTGGTTTTCTACTAGAATTGTTAAAAGTTTATCGTGATCTACCAATTACCGTAGAATTGTTAAAGAAAAACAACGCTGCCAAAACTATTAAACAGTTTGCTAAATCAGATAATGAAAGTAAGTGGGCTTGTTTCATTATTCCAGTCAACCCAGCTGTAAATGGGTTTAGATAGTCCAACAGATAGAAGTCTGAGAATGCACACTGCCAAGAAGTTTGGTCAAATTCCAGCTAGTTGAAAGGATCCTGGTGAACCTGAGTCACTATCCTTTAAGGTTAAAGCCAAAAGGTTTGTTTTCGTGTTCCAGTCATCTGAAGTCACTAAATTTGATTTAAAATGGAGTTTAATTATCAATCAGATTTCTGTATTTTTGAGAATAAGATCCCTGCTATGCATTTATTAAGGGACTAAAGTTGGGGTTTTCTAGTGTTTTTACCAGTGCTCTATTTTGAGATTTATTTCAATCTATTTTATTTCTAGGTATAAAGGTATTATCAAGTGATATCGTTGATAAATGGATGAAGACAGTCCGTGGTGGACGCGCAGATGAAAATGGTAAATATTTTTTATATTTTTTTTTATTAGATTTTACATGACTAATTGCACTAATTGCACCCATGATTAGGTGCATGATTAGATTAGGTTCATGAATATTCAATACAATCAAATTGGTTAAATTTCAGATAAGAAAAAAGAAAAAGACAAGAAGCGAAAGAAAGACAAAGATCATCATCATCGGCATCATTCTGGCAGTAAAGATAAAGAAGGTGGCGCCACTGACATGACGGGAGGTGGGAGTAGCGATGCCAACAAAGATAAAACAAACGATGATAGTGCGGCCAAGCGACCAAAAACTGTCAAAACTTTACAAAGTAAATTTAGATCTACTGGTAAGTTGAAAAAAACTATATTGAATATAATTTGACAGACAAGAAAAATCACCCCTTAACTTACAAATGAGTTCTTCCAATCATACATAATTGATAGAAAATATGCATGTGTGGAAGAGTGTAAATGAAAGTTGAGGGGTGTCAAATACAGCCTTTGTTACAAATAGTTACTCACTGTCTTACGGACTAAACATGGAAAAGCGTTCGGATGGAACAAAAAAAACACATACTCGTGTGCTACAGACTTTGCATGTTAAAGATCCCTCGACAGTTGAAAATCAAGAAATGGTAGACTACTGGAAAATATTTATTTATTTCACAATGTCTACAAAAGCAGGAAATAAAACTTCATTCTTTTCTATTGTAATTTGTAGGACTGGAAGATCAGACTATAGCCCCTGTTAAAAAGAAACCTGTTACGGAACCCAAACCACTGCCTGTTTTACCAAAACGCAAGTAAGTACTGTAAACTTTATTGATGAAGTCTTCTAAATAATAAAATCTTGAGTCAGTCCCTTTCTTTGCTCCTCATAGAAACTCTATTGTGAACTAACTGTCCTGATGAGGATTGTATATCTGAAACATTTATCGGTAGCATGAGATGAGCGTTAGTCATTAATATTTTGTGTTTTTTTTTCGCAGTACAAGTAGTATAGAGGAGCCCCCGGAGAAGAAGTCAAGATTGACCCTAACAATCCCCTCCCCCTCATTATCCTCGGCTACCACCCTACCAACATCTACTAGTCCCCCATCTACCTCACCCCAAGAAGTTCAGCACGGCAAGATCAAAATCATTCCTGCTAAACGACGTAAGTCTTGAATTATTTTGAATTTTGGTTTCGTCATCAGATTGGGATTAATACAGGCGATGCCCTGCAGTATGCAATGAGGGAAATTGTGCCACAAGAAAGGTATCCCTGTTCGTTTTTGCCTGTATGCCTAAAGTTTTTGGCTTGGAAGAAAAGGGCGTTGGCCACTAATAGGGTATTAAATGCTATTGAGTTATTGCCCTTGACTTTCATTAAATCGTACATTAAATTATTTGCTAAATTTGGACACATTATTTCAGTACCTACCCATGAAATACATGAAGATTCTGGGTTTATGGACAGTTTGTCTGTGAAACCAAGGTTCGGGGGTGTGAAGAAAAAGAAAAAGTTGATGTCACCTGTTACCACGACAACACCTACAACGCCGTCTGGTCCTCCTGATTTAAAACCTGCTGTAGTTACCTCCCCTATTGCAGTGCCACCTGTATCACCTATAACGTCACTCGCTTCACGATTACCGTCTGTTCCTTCAGTAAGTTTTGGTGTGGATTATTTGCTAGCTCTGGAACTTGGTCGAAGATCATTCGAAACGTGGTGTCTATCTTTTGGTCTAATTTTGTGAAAAAAAACAGCTTTTCTATTGTTGCTAGACCTGGCTAATGACCAGCTGGTAGAAAGCATCTTCAAGAACCTAAGTTGTCATTGCTCATTATTACAGTTGACCCAGCTTTAAATGGGTATGGATAACCAAGAGGCTTGGTCAAGGACCAGCTGGTGAAAAGGATCCCCAAGAACCTCAGTTGTCATTATTCTAGTTGACCCAGCTCTAAATGGGTATGGATAATCACCAAGAGGTTTGGCCAAGTACCAGCTGCTAGACAGTAGCCTTATGAACCTTGATCCTTGTCAAATCAGTGCCTAAAGGTTTGACCAAGGATCAGCTGGTAGAAAGGATCTTCGTAAACCTGGGCAGTTATTTGATATAGATGTCTTTCTTCTGTTTTCCTATTTTTAAAAAGTTATTTGTAAGGATCAGTATTTTTTTTCAGTTTTATAAAGATACTTTAGAAACAGCTGAAGAACCACAAGAAACGAAAGAGAGATCACCATCGCCGGAAGAAATGAATCCTGTGAATCTACAGATGCCGCTGTTGTCTCCAGAACGACCTAGTACACCCGTAGATGAGGATATGGAAAATAAAAATCCTGATGATTCCGGCAAGAAAAACGGTAAGTTTCTGTTCCAATTGCCATTTTCAGTTGTGTAAATGTTTGTTTCGCTGTACGCTAGATCTGCTTTCTAGCTACCAGTACTCTTTTCAGAATTAAAAATTGGAATTACTATACATCATCGATTCTAAATTATTATCTTAACGTTACCATGTTTTTAGACAACAAGCTAAAAATCTGATTGGTCAAAATTATTCACACAATTTTTTAGCTTTGTATGTTAACGATTGCATAAAGTTTCTGACAACGAGCTAGAAATCTGATTGGTTAATATTTAGATTGCACGATTATCATTAAGTTACGATGTTTCTGACAACAAGCTAGAAATCTGATTGGTTAATATTTTCACTGCAATAACATCATCCAATCAGAGTATTCGATACTCTATGTATTGGACTTTCCTATGTTTGTGCGATGCCCAGAGATGATTAAAATGGCTGCCATTTATCTTTTAGAAGATGAAAATAACGGACAAGAAAACGTAGAAGACCCAGATCAGAAGGGATTGCTGTCAACTGGCATGATCAAACGGAAAAAACCCAAGAAAAAACTTCGCTGGGTGGATGATAACAGGCTTTGTCAGTTCCATTATTTTGAAATGGATGAAACTGAAAGAGGTACGTCTCGGAATTTAATTTAGAATTTCATAAATCAGATTTATGTCCTACATTTTTGCTTCTTATCGGACTTTTTCTATCTATATTTATTCAGTCTTGCTCTGAGAGTAGGAATCATAACTCTATTTTATTCCATTTATAATTGAACTTATGATAAAGAGCTACTATGTGCAGTGAACAATGAGGGAAGAATAAGATATACAGAGATTTCTTTTTTCTATTTTGTTTCATTCGTTTCTTTTGAAATTTTCCAGAAAATGTGAACCGACCGAAAGATAGTTTTAATAGTTTAAAGAAAGCTGAAAGAATGATGGAGGGAAGGGTACGTTACTTTTTTCCCTTAAAATTATGTTTATTAGCAGGTAGGATGGTAATTGGGGCAAGAAATAGTTTTCTGGGGGTAGATCATAGTGACAGAAACCCAATCACATAATTTCAGAAATGTTCTAAAATAACGAAAAAAACTATTTTTTGTAGGCAATGGATAGAAAGTTTAGTCACCATGACAACCAGAATGAGGCTGTACAATGGCGCAAACCTGAATTATTAACAGGACTAAGTTCCGTGGTCGTCCCAGGATGCAACAGTACCGAACGTGACATTCAGAATCAGCGAGAACAAAGTGTTCTTCAAGCTCTTTTCTTCTCGAAGGCTATGTAAGTTTTCTCTTACAATTTTTCAGATGTCCTACCTTATTATATGTTCAGTTGTAGTGGAATTGCAGGAACCACAGACTTCTGATTAAAAATTAAAATGGTGTAAATTGATGCTATCAGTGTCTCTAATACACATAATTTTAATTAAGTTTTGTTATCCAATCAGATTGCTGTGTTTCTAAATTTCCTTTAAGTTAAGTTTTTGAATATAAGCCCAAGGTGAAGCAAATATTAATATAAATTTTAGAAAGACTTTATCCTTTTAATGGGCTTAATTGTACTAAAATTTGCTTTGATTAACATGTTCAAGAAGATCAACTCAATTTGAAATGTTAATGTTTCCAGGTTACCAGATACACCAACAGAACCCGATTTAGAAGCAGTAGAAACAGAGGAACCTATTAATATACCTTTAGTTGATGTAAGTTATCTCCCTTACTCTTCTAGAACGCTTGATGACACTCTGTTCCTTACAGTTAAAGAATTGCGTTCTAGAATTGGAACAGGTCGAACCTGTCCGGAACTCACAAATCGATGCCACTTGGAGTCACAGAAGTCTCTTGAATGCCTTGATCTTGAAATTTCCAATTTTACAAGTTAAACTTTGCTTATCAAAGGTCCATGGTTTAATCCCAGCATAAGCCAGGAAAATACCTTTGAAATTTTCAATTAGGTTTCCCACTGTCATTGACTCAGTGAGTTAGATGCTTCCTCGCTAACCTGAAGGTCCAGGGTTTAATCCCAGCATAAGCCTAGATAATACCTTTCAGATTTTTCAACCCTGGTTCCCCAAACTGTTTGGTTAAGTCAATAAGCCATTAAAGATCCTTCAGTGGTCTATAACTTCTAAAAGTCTCACCTTAACTTCTACTAATTCTGAAACCAGAGCCAGTGCATTCAGTGTATTCAAAATCTGAAAAATTTTCATTTTCAAATTTCAGGCTTCATCGTCAGGAGAAGAATATTCCTATACGTATGACAACATTACCCAGAAACCTGATAAACTAAAACCTGACCCCCCAGAGTTACTACAACAGAATAACCACGGGATTCACCAAGGAGGTCATCCTATTGCTCTAATGGGAGCCCCACCCCCCGGTCTGCCACCAGAGTTGACCAATATTTTAAATAATTTTAGTAAAAATCCCCCGACTGGGAACAATGTATCTAATGATATGATGCAGAATGTCCAGAATATGTTGGCTGTCATTATGGTGAGATATTTTCAGAATTTTATTTTATTAACCTGGAGCCTTATTTTCGTAAACTTACAGGACATTAAATCGAGGCCCCTTGTGCTACATCACCATCACCAAGGCCCATAGACAAAAGTGATGTCATAAAATCATATTTTGAGTGGAATTGCATCCACAGATGTCAGACTGATAATTGGAATGGTGCAAATATTGATTACAGTTGTTGAACATCAGTCAGTTTGTAGCTCAGCAGTCTTATTTGATTTTGTTTTTCAGCAAGCCAGCCAAGATGGCAACCAGAATCAGATGATAGACCAGTTGAGAATGGCACTGGAACCTTTCAGACATCAACTTCCAGAATTATTCCAGATGGGTTCCAACTTCGGCGGCAGCGGTCCGAACATGATGGGTGGACCACCTAGAATGGGACCAGGGCTGCTCGGAGCTGCTCCTCCTGGGTTTGCTCCCCTTGGAGGCCCTCGAGGACCCCCTCCTAACAGATTTATGGGACCAGGTAGGTTGGGTTATTCTGATTATTCTTGTTTCCAATCAAATGTGAATCAAGATAACTATAATTTTAAGATTGATATTTTTACAATGGGTCGTTTGTTTGATTAGGGTCGTTTCACATGTACAATTATGATTGGATAATATTTGTAAAAAGCAAACGACCGAAAACAATATGGTTAGATGTTAAATGACATATAAACGTTTGGCCTCCAGTTAACTGATATCACAGACAAAAGCAATATTGTAAAAAAATAAAAGTGGAAGATGGGATTATAAATTTTAAATTTAGATGTTCATGGGGTGATTGATTTGTAATTTTAGGACCTGGTGGACAGATGGGAATGCCTGGACCGCAGGGACCAGGTGGCCCGATGCGAGGACCTGGCCCTGGCCCTGGACCACAAGGAGGACCAATGGGTCCTGGGCCTGGAGATGAATGGGGTGATAACATGATGGGAGGACACATGGGGCCTGGAGGTCCAATGGGACCTAATGGTCCAAGACATAATTTCCAGAGGCGTGGTGGCCCGATGAATCGTGGTCCAATGAGAGGTGGTCGTGGTGGAAATCGTGGTGGGCGTGATAATCGTGGCCCAGACAGGGGAGGTAACCGTGATGATAGGAGAGATGATAGGGGTCGTGGTGGACGAAATGATAGAGGCAGAAGAGATAATCGGGGTGGAAAGGGAAAGAGACAAGGTGAGTCAAAAGATTTCAGTCTGTTTTGTGGATTTTTTGTAATGAATTAGAAATTCATTTTCCAAGGTTATTTTGTGAATATATCTTTATATAAGCTATGAAAGAGAGTTGATTGTATTCAGTAACAATGGCCAATGTTTAAAGTAAGCCAATATATTTTGTATTTACTTGCCCTGATTTGTCTTTGAAATTGAAAAGTTTTTTTTTGTGCTTTGTTTTGATGATATTTTACTTTTTTCAATCGTTGGTTTTGAAATGTGGAACAATGACTTAACTTAATTTCTTTCATTCCAGTTTGTCGACATTTCTTATCAAATGGCGGTTGTAAATTTGGTGACACCTGCAGTTTTCTTCACCCTAACCCCCAAAATGGGCAATCACCAGTGTCCTGATGAAAGTGGTTAACATAGAATAGTCATCTGAAGTGCTAGAAAATCAAAAGGTGGGAGATTTGGTGGAAGGATTTCATATTTGGAAGTGCAGGAGTGATGAATTGAGAGAGAATATTCTATAAATCATTTTAGTTATTCAAGAAGGAAAATAAAATGGTTATTTTGGAAGAATGATTAAAAAAATTCAGAAATTTCCGAAAAAATTATGATTTTTGTGATGAAGTTCTAACTATGGAACATGATTTAGATTAAAAAGTGTGCTTGTGATTTTGGATCTCTGTGAATTTTGAAAGTTTTATAAGAAATGATTTATCACTGAAAATGCCAAATTCTCTTTGGAAATGCTGACAAAAAAGGAAGGTCGAATATTCTTCAAAAATTTCAGCATTTCATCAAATTGATTCGGAAGATCTTTCCGTACTTTATAAAGATTATGGATTTCAAATTTGTGGATGTCGAACATTTTTTTCACTTTTCAAACTGATTCAAGAGCAAAGATCGTTTATTTAAATATTTGCCCAAAAAAAAGTGGAAATATCATGATGAAGGATGGCATAATGTGGCCATATTGTGGTTTAAAGTGAAAGTTAAATGACATACAGGGTTAAAGAATTGGACATTGAATATACCGTACTTATCAGTGGCAGAAAGTGCAGGAAACATCCAGGTTTTACAAGGATAACAACTTAGGTTCACAAAGGATCCTGTCTACCAGCTGGTCCTTGACCAAACCTCTTGTCATGGATCTTTCAAGGATAGCAACTTGTGTTCTCAAAGATCCTTTCTACCTGCTGGTCCTTGAAAAGTGCTTCCACAAACTAGAATGAGTGAAATTTCCATTGGATAAAAAACTTGCTAAAGCTTAAAGCATTGGGATATACCTACATATATGAAAGCTTAAAACATTAGCTTAAATCTCTGATGCATTCAAGTACAAAAACTAGAAAAAAAGAGTTTAATTGATGTGGAAAAAAGCGAATTATATTAAAAAATTGTTCTGGTATTTTCAACAAAATAATCAAAGATGCTAAAACTTGTAAATTGTGCAAATGCAAACTGACAATAAATTCGTAGAATTGTGGCAAACTCATAAAGTTGTGATAATTTCCTGAAAAAAAACTAAAAGCGTTCTTCATATGTCTGTGATCTTTACTGAACTTTTGTGTCTTCGTAATTTTTTGTGCTTAATCTGTGTGCATGAAAAATTTGCTGATATGTTTGCAAAACTGATTATGAATTATGTGCATTTTTAGCAAATGAGCTTTGGACATTTTGTACTGTTGCAATCCTAAGTGAATTGTCATATAGCCAAAAACCAAATTGACTTGCAGAGAGATATTTATAGATTTATGTGCCCTTTGACCTATATTGTGAAATGCACATGCATTTGAATTGATGTGCATTTAGTGCTGTGAATGATGTGTCAACATACTTAATGCATGATATATATAAATCTGATTGCTTGCTTTATAAATTTATCAAATGAGTCCAATTATGTTCTATATTGAGCCTATAATCAAGCTCAGTTTCGTCAATATACAACAATAAACAAGGCATCTGATTGGTTAATATTATCACTGCAATAACATCAACCAATCAGAGTTCTTATAAAGGTTTATAATGTTTACCATTATTTTACGATGTTTCTGACAATAAGCTAGAAATCTGATTGGTTGATATTTACTACATGACTAGAGAATATTGACCAATCAGAATTTTTCTTACTGCTATGTTTGTTACAAGGCCCCTGATTGGTTAATATGAATATTATCACTGCAATAATATCAACCAATCAGATTTCTTAGAATGATATGCTATGATTATCAAAAACCTATGATGCTCCTGCAAACTACAAACTCATGAACTTTTTTTTAGCAAAAGGGATTGTATTTGAATGAATAATAATATATAAAGTAATTGAAACTTGTAAATATAATATTTGTACAGTGAAATTGTTAAAACATGGATTATTTGAGATTGCTATGAGAAAGAATGAATGAAGTATTGAAATATGCAGTAAAAGTTTTGGTTTTGTCTGAACAATGGCACATATCCCATAGAACTGTCCGTGCTAGGAGCTTTATACTCCAAAAAAACATAAGATAAAAGCCGGATTTGAAGAAATACAGTAATCTGATTGGATAATAAAACTAAATTTAAAATTAATTTTAGTGATTGACCAATCGGATGACTAGAACACTATTAAACCATCTAAAGTTTTGGAGAATTCGAGCCTGGTTAGTATGTGCCATCGTTTAAACTAGCCAATCAGAAATGATTGTTTTGTATATCTGCTGCCATTTATTTGTTGTCATGACAACAGTATTTTCTAGAAACAATCACTAAGTGATTAAAATTTTTCTATAAACTACAGAATTTGTTTTTTTCTTTAATTCATTTTTTTTTCTACACCCCCATGATATACGCCCTTCAGTGTGCAGCAAGGGAAATTTTGCCTGGGAAGTGGCTTAGCCTACTCGGTTTACATGTCCGACTATGCACAGACTGCAGCACAACGGGCCTCAGTACCATCCAAATCTCAGCCTTTTCGACTTAAATCACTGGGCTTGAAAATCTGAAGATTTTATCTCAATATATACTGGGAATGAACACTGGAGCTTCAAGATTTATTCCATATTGTGTAATGGTTAATAACGCTCTTAATCAGAATTTCAGTTTTAATTTTTATATAATTATAATACAGCACTGACTAACACATAAATATCACAACTGATACTTGGTTTGATACCCAAAACATATATTAAAAAAAAATAGTCAAATCATATAATGCTGAATTGTATTGGGTTTTGGCTAACTGATGCTTGGTTTGATAACCAAAACATACATTAAAAATTAATAGTCAAATCATATAATGCTGATAAGTATTGGGTTTTGGCTAACTGATACTTGGTTGGATACCCAAAACATATATTAAAAAAAATAGTCAAATCATATAATGCTGATAAGTATTTGGGGGGTTTTGGCTAACTGATACTTGGTTTGATACCCAAAACATATAATAAAAAAAATAGTCAAATCATATAATGCTGATAAGTATTTGGGGGGTTTTGGCTAACTGATGCTTGGTTGGATACCCAAAACATATATTAAAAAAAATAGTCAAATCATATAATGCTGATAAGTATTGGGTTTTGGCTAACTGATGCTTGGTTGGATACCCAAAACATATATTAGAATTAATTATCACCAGATATGTTTGTGGATATCCTTGCAACATACATAGAAAATATTTGCTTTGATGCTAGTATTTCTAGGCAAATAAGGCTAGATTTTAAACAGTTTTTGGGGATTGCCCATTAATACTTCTGCAAAACTAAGGCTAGAATGTATGCCTTCTTGGACGGATTGTGTGCAAATACTTTCAGCCATGGAATTCCAGACTCAAGAAGGAATAAATACAAATCAATGCTGTTCAAGTTAAAAATATCTATAAGTAGAATATCACAGATGGTATAATATACAACATTCAATATACACAATTTCAACTCCACACATTATACTAATTGAGACTTTGGATTTTAAAAGTGTAAACTTAGGTGACGTCTCTTGGCTTTCAAAACTAAGATGGTGTTAAAAGGATTAAATAAATAAGTTAACTTTAAAACAATATTTACAATTCAAAACATTCAAGTTAGTAAGCCATTAAAAATTCCTCCTGGTGGTCAAAATCATTCTTTAAAACTGCTTTATTTAGGTTACATTTTGAAAAATATTCCCTCAAGTTGCCAAAATTTACAATGCACAGAATTCAACAGTTAAAAATGTCGCAACTTCTCAAATGTTTCTCTTAAAATCCACACCTTCAAAGTAGATATTGATCCAATAGGTCTACTTCATCAAGTAGTGATGTTTTCATTTTAATCTAAAATGTCCACATTTCTCAAAAAAAAATTCCCTTGAACTGCCTCATTTAAAGTAGATTTTTATCTGATTCTAAAATAACTACACTTTTATTTTTTCTTCTTGGCTGATGCTCTTTTATGTTTCACGTCTGATTTCTTTTCTTCTTTGGTTTCCGTGACAACGGGTGTCTGAGATTTCGATGGAGATTGAGGAGTCTGAACAGGTGGAGCCACCTTAGTGGAGGTATCTTCAGGGACTTCGGTCAATGTTGCCAGTTTTCGTTCCAAGGCTCGGACTCTTTCTTGGGTTTCTGCCAGTTCCAGCTCAGCTGTAGAGGCTCGGTCTTCTGCAGTTTGTGCTCTTTCCTCTGTAGATCTGTTGTCATAGAATAAAGTAGATTTAGAACTTTAAGCATTTAATGTCAATGTTAGGAAAACATGTAGGAAAATTTATGCCAAAAAAATTAAAAGATAAGAAGACATTGGTTTTTATGAGTACTCCAAAAAAAACAAACTCTTGAGTAATAACTGTTTCTATGCGCTCAGCTTTTTTCATTCATCAATTCCAATCAAGGAACAAAGAGTCCAATTTTGAATTTCCTGCAGACTAAAGGGAGATAATTTTTTGTGCCAAGGGAGGTAATCCAACTTACAATAATTGTTTCTGTAGAGTGTCCACAGCAGCCAAAGCTTCATAGGCTTTCTTAGTATCTGGTACTTCTTTTAGAGTTCCCACTGCTGTTTCTGGTTCTGGAGGTGGCTGCAAAACAACATAGAGAATTAAAAAATGGAATGGATATTACCTGCTTTTCTGGTCCAGTTCAGACAAATAAAAACATGCTATGCCATAAACTAACTGCATGGCATGATGAGGACATTCTCATGGTTGTGAAGGTTCTATAATGTGCACATTCTATGGATTATATTAGGCCTACAGGACATGACATTAGTTTATTGTCCCATCTGAACAGCAAGATCCTTTTTCCATGTCAGTCCCACCTGCATCACTCTCAGGGATATGCTCTTTGTTATGGTATGAAAAGATATTTTACCATGTCAAGAGTATGATGAAGATTTTCTATATGTGTATTATTATCACTGCCAATCTTTTCCAACTTCTCACTTTTATCAACTTCTGGTTCCTGCAATCAGATCAGAATTTACAAACTAGACTTGATGGCAGGCAGCCAGTGGCGAGGGGAAGGGCCCCATAGAGGCCACAGAATTGCCGGGGGGTCAAAGACAATTCTGTTACTATGTTAAGTGATATATAATTTGAAA